TGAAATTGCTCACCTGAAAAACAAGGTCACAGGAGCTAAAAATAGAAAAAGCTTGTTAACACTCTAGTGGCTGCAGTTTTGATTCAAATATTCTGGAAATTTGTCAGGAAGGTTGTTTTGATGTTTTTTAGGTCAACTTCGAAGATGGGTCATCTCCGGTCAAAAACTAGGTCACAGGAGCTAAAAATAGAAAAGTTTGTTAACACTCTAGTGGGCTTCAGATTTATTGACTAGTGCCTGGGGTTCATACAGGCCGTTTAAGAAGAGCTTGGCACAATGGGACCTTGTTTTATTCTTAAACAGGGCTGTTGTTGACTCTAGCCAAGTCACTGGAACACACATATCGGATCCAGATACCAGAAACGTGTATCCTGTTGGTGGTGCCTCTTGCCCAGAAGGAACAAAAATCTGCAATTGAAAAGAACGTCATATTAAATATCTGTATTATATAAAAACTTACTATAAAAACTTGTAGCTTTTAATTGTATATATTCCTTAGAGAACAAAAATGTTAATAAACAATAAAATTTAGAAGCTTGAATGTGAACTCCTTTGAAAAGTAAAAAATTCTTTACCGAGTTAAGAAAAGCTTTTTTGTGAAAATATGGTGGCTTTTAATTTTATCAACTGACTAGAAAACTGTAAATATGAGACAAAATAAAACAATAAATAATTTCCTATTACAACAGGAAAATAACATCTTCAGGCATCCTTCAAACAACAACAGTGCATTTATGGATGCTACTGTTTAATAACAAAAGGTCAAAAGTGAATAGCTGGAAATCTTTGGTTGCTTTGGAAGGTAGCTTGTTAAGTACAGGAAATGCTTGCATATCTGTAGATGCCATGAAAGTTACTGATTGTTAAAGGAAGTAAATGCTTGCTATGGCTGTAGAATTGTTACAAGGAGTGCTTAAATTTCTATCAAAGCTATAATTTGAACAAGTTGGTAGAGGTCTATCTGGCCAGGTGTCATGTTAAATATCTAAGCTGTAATCATCAGAGCCAAGTCAAAAATATCCTCTGCCTCCTCTGACTTCATTTCAAGCAATTTATTCATGATCTGCACAAGAGGAATCATACCTGATGTCATATATTGTTATGTCCTTTGAAGCTCTTGGACTTCGGGTGCTTTATGATCAACTGTGGATGACAAACCATTTTTTACCGTCGAGGCTATCACATCATGTGCGCTGGGTCCACATTCTTCTTGTTTGGTAAACAGTTATTCCACTGCTTTCAGTTTCGCAAGTTTCCTGTCTGAATGTGAAGGTGTACTCTGTTCAAACTTTTCTTCAGTGGTTCACTTCTAGAAGTTACGCCACTTTCACTTCCGGACTTCGACAGATTTTTGGAGAATTTCCTATCCACGTGCTTCCTCCGGATATCGATCCTTGTCCCATACTTCCACCGGATGTAGAAGCTAACTTATCTGACCCTTCGCCCATAATTGAACAACTTCACACAGTTCTGATCACAAAAATCCAGCGAAATTGGAATAGTTCACTGCTTTATATGTTTAATAATGAGACACGATACATAAATTCCCTTGTGGTACAAAAAAGTAATAAAATTTTCAATACATAACAATCCTTAACTAGATAAACTATTATTTTTATATTCCTCGTAAAATCCACAAGACTTAGTGGTCAGTTCCCAGATAGTGTTGTTCAGCTAGTGATTGGTTACATGACTGCGTTCCTTCACTAATGGGATTCTGATTGGTAGACAGGGGTAGCAGAATTGGTTGTTTAGTTATATTTTAAAAGAACTTATGAGCCAGTATGTATTTAGATAATGGTATCACTTAAATTATCATTCGAATTTTCATGATATAAGACTTCATGTGAATTTCTAAGTATTAATATTGTTTTAAACAGGTACTATGTTAGTTTGCCTACCTGTACATATTGCATTTCTTCTCTGTTATTGGTGTATGTGTATTATCATTTTCTTTGCTTAATTACTCGTTATTTCAATTTAATTGATCTATTTTAATATAACATTTGTGTATATATGTTGTGTATATGTTGTGTACATGTAAACTGTTAATATATTGTAATTATGTTATATACATACTATATGATCTAAAATGAAAAAACTGGTACATGTAACATTTTTTTTTATTAAACTTTAGAGTTATGATAAAAAAATTTATATACATGTTTATGGCATTTTTCTATTTCATGAATCAAGTCTGAAGACATAGTTTGCTTGTTTCCTAACAGTAGGATGTTACAACAAATAATTATTTTCATGCTCTAAGAAACTTTATTTTGTATTAATATTCAGATATATTTAAAAAGTACATGTTACAGTTTATACTGTTAATCCAGTGTTTGTGTTTCTGTTGAAGTATTCATGTGTCTAGTTCAAACATATTGTCTTTTACTGTTCTAAGACTACATGGAACAGCCAAATGTCTTGTGTTACAGTTCTAATTTCACAGGTCATGTTATATTTCACATTACAGTTTAAATACACTATTACAATTCTGGAATATAACATGTACCATAAAATTCCTATTAACGCCTAGGGGCTAAACTTTTCTAAAAGGAGGAGGGGGGGGCTATTATTACAACACAGTTTTTCCTAAATCCAAAAAGCGTTCTAAAATATATTTTAAATGTAAGCAAGTGTTAGTAATATCATTGAAAAGTGTTCAGGTTTTAAAATTTATATGTTACATTTTTGTGGGTTTTTTTTTATAAAATAAAATGTGTTCGGAAGGATTTTATGGTATGTGTTACGATTTGTAATATAACACGTGTTGCATAATACTAGTATAGAGCTGTAGTAAATGTAACTTACTTGTGTTTGTTCAGAACTATTGTATTTTTTGTTATCAAGACTGATATACCATGTGCTGCACTAGTTTTAATTTTAAACAAATTCTGTATGAAGTGAAAAATTTTGTTGTTGCAGTATAATGTTTACAATTGTTATTTTTTAAATAAAACATACTTTAAGATACTTGAATGTGTTCTTTTTCTTTACAAATGTTTGCCCATTCATTTTACATCATTTTATTTTTGGTAAGCTATTTATAGCTTGACAAATTTTTGTCCAGCATCTATAATCTTCAGCCCTTGAAGTTTACTTCCAATTTGTCAACTTCTTTGTGCCCTAAAACAGATTTTGGTCATATAGAACTCATGAACTGGTGGTCAAGTTGACTTCAAACCACTGCCTCTACATGCTGAAGGTACAAGCCCCTCTTAGTGTTGTTGAATTCTGCATGCGAGCTAGCTGACAGTATGTTGTTGGTTCTAATCACTGGTACTCTGGTGCCTATTTTTGCCTGAAAAAGTGTACAAAGGGCACACAAAGGTCTTCCTCAACCAGTAAAGTTGCAGTCACCATATTACCTATTCTGTGTCAATGGGATGTAAAACCCAACCAAACAATTAGAAAGTCTTCTATTATGTTAAGTAACACTGCTTTAAACATATATTTTATCCATTAAATGACCTCACATAAATCAATGGATTGATCATCATGTATCCTGGTCGGAAGAATCCATGGATGGTTTGTTACCGAGTTTGCTCAAATAAATGTTACGAAGTAGAAGATTACAACTGAACAAGGGAAATACCTTAAAAACTGGAACTGTGTCCAAAGGACACCGATGCCCCCACTGTGCAGATGTGCTCGTAAACAAGAGCATGCATATCTGTATGTAAGATTTTTATGTGGAACTTTTTCATTCCACTGTTTCATTTCTGTACATATACCTAAAATGATCTACAGGTAACCTTATGTACATGTTAAATTAAATTACAAATGTAAAATTTATATGTTCAATTATTTATATGGTATATAGTGAAAAAATCAACAAAGGGCCATAATTCTGTTAAATTTGGTCACAGCAAAAATTCCTTCCTTTACTACCATCTACACATTAAAGCTGTTCATCCCTGGAAGTTTAAGCAAAATCTGCCATCCGGTTTAAGAGGAGTTGCGTCCACAAGATTTCGGGACGTACAGACCGACGGACATACGTACATTAAATACGTACATCACTATGAAATGTGACTAAGTATTGGCAAGCATACAAAGTGATTTAGCAAGACAAAGGCAGTACAACTGGCACCAAGAGAAGCACTAGGAGGAATGGCAATTTATGTCAAAGTGTTATTTGTATGCTTAATTTTCATTTGAGAAGAGTTCCATTCGAGAAGACTCATTCTCAACTGACTGAAAAATGTTTCATTATTCTTAAAATGCTAAATACCCCCAGAGTGGAAGCATTTTGTTCAGTAATGCTTCATGCCAAATATGCAAGTTCTGGGCATTAGTTTTTTTTTTTTTTTTTAAAAAAGACATGTATTTTCTCATACTTAAAGCACATCACCCCCAAGCGGAGGGCCAATTTTGATCTCAGGGTCATGGTAAATAGAACTTGTAAGACTACAACTGATGCTCCAGTCAGGTATTTAGTTCTGGTTTCCGTAGTTTTAGAGTTAAATTTTCAAGATTATAGATGTCTACATACACTAAGTGATCCCTGGGGCATGTCAATTTTTAATCAAGTTATGATTTATGTAACTTCAGTAGAGGTCCACTTATTAATGCTACATGCCACATATCTAAGCTTTGGGTGTTGTTTTCGCAAAATAAGACTAAATGTATTTTCCTATACATGTCTATATCTTAAGGGACAGGGCCAATATTGATCCAATGGACATGATTTATATTGGGTTTTGGCCATTATTCAGTCATAATAAGTATCAGAATAATGTGCTTTTAATAGTGAGTTTGGTTATGTTTTTTATTTCCATAAAACTGTCAAAATCCATGCTAGAATTATTGACCTTCGACAGTGACCTCCTATTATATCCCCAAATAAGTGAGTGAAGTTAGAAGCAAATATCATTAGTGATTGTTGAGATACTATGATGCATTCAAAACTTTAACCAAAATGTTACGCTGACACACTGGCGAGTAGCAAAGCTCTAAAATTCTTTGAATAGTCAAGCTCAAAATACAAATAAGATGAGAACTTTTGTTAACTTTTTATTTCAATAAAAAATACAATGTGTTGATGATGGTGATAGCATGGCAATATATTTACAGTTATGATTAATTTGTTCTACAGCAGAGATTCCCCTATGTCATCCAACTATTTTATATACTTGATAACAAATTTCAGTTCCATGCAAAAGACTGCAAGTGAGGAAATTATGAAAAACTTTATTCAAGTCAAGACTAACTGGACTATATCATAAGAAGGTCAAACAGTGAGTTAATGATGATGTTATATGATATGAAATACGAGACACAGGAATGCATTACGACATCTACCAATAGTTAAACTATGTAATCTAGTGATCTCACAAAAAACAACATGTATATTTCATAGAAACATAACAATATATAAATGATGGTAAAAAAGAGCATTTTAAAAAAGTGAACAAACATCATTTCATATTATAAACCTCATAGCTGCAGATGCTGACCTGAAAGATTCTTAAAACTTTCCACTCAGACTCATAATAAATGATGTAAAATAGTGTAGAGCATTTTCTCTCTGGCAAAAGTAATCAAAAGAAAAATATCCACTACAGTTGACAAAATGGTCGTCCCTCATTTAAGACATCAATTGAAAGTATAATGTAAGTATGTATGTATGTGTTTGCTATTTGTGATCATGATTCATCCTTGTCATTATCACCTTTGCCATCTGGAGACTTTGACCTTGATTTAGACCTTGACCTAGATCTTTTTTCTGAACGTGACCTCGACCGTGACCTCTTTTCAGATCGAGACCTTGACCTGCTTCTACTCCTGCTGCTTCTATTGGACCTGCTACGACTCCTGCTTCTAGAGCGGCTGCGAGACCTGGACCTGCTGCGACTTCTAGAGCGAGACCTACTTCTGCTGTAGCTGTGAGAGGTAAAAGGGAAATTTTAAAACAGAAAATAAATTTTTTTATGCATTTAACTCATGAAATATTCCATAAAAACCTAAACTGATAAAAAATTAGGTTATGAAAATAACCTTATGGTTTCTTCCTGAAATATCAGTAACATAAAATGTCTATCAACTATAATATACATGAACGTTGTAAGTAAAATGTTCTGGAACAAAATATTACGCTGCTATTTTTAGTAGTTTTTTTTTTACGAGTTTACACATGCCCCAGTGCTCTCAATAAATAAAATATACTGACAAATTTTTCTGTCATTCTAGGTATTCCGTATTCATTTTAATCACATTATAAACGAAGAGACAACAAATATACAGCTTTATATACTTAAAATATTACCATTCAACATTCATTCTTCAAATATTGCCTCTGTATTGCAAATTCGAGAACAAAAGTTATTAAAAAATAGTCTAGCATTCCTGTATAAAAATAAAGCAAAAAATTTCTCCAATTCCAAATTTCTAATGAATTTTAAACATTGAACACATTGAAACCATAAATACGAAAGTTCTCACTACAATTGTGACATAATATGTGAAAATGACCATTAAACAACACAGCATATTTTTTAAAAATAACTTAATTTGACAAACAGATAGACAAATAGGATTTGGGGTTTTATCAGATAGACAAATAGGATTTCGGGTCATGCCTTAATAACAATTTTTAAAAGCGGAGTATAGAGATGTTTCACCTTCTCCTTCGTCTGCTAGGTCTATCTTCAATCATCCGGATCTTTCGTCCATTTATTTCAGTACCATCCAATTTCTCAATGGCTCTTTTCATCTCTGCTTTTGTTGAAAAATCCACAACTCTACAATATAAAATGACAAGTGTATGAAATGTATGTTCATATTGTTAAATAGAATGTCAATTTTATTTTCTTTGGTTTAAGTTGCACCTGATGCTGATAAAACGTCATGTGTTGCCTTTCCACTTTTCCTAGTTGTAAACTAAGTGTACAGTCATTGAATTTAAGATTTTGAATTTACTGGCCCGAATTCCAGTTTTGAATTTATTCTACTATATATATTTTACTAAATTTTCTTAAAATTTACACTGGCCTGAACTAATTTACACTGGCCGTGACCCCGCGGGTCAGTGCCTAATTCAATGACTGTGTGTATATAAAATTATGTCAGACATGATGAGCAACCAAGTAGGACAACAGTTCCTGTCTTCCATATGGTAGCGCAGTAACTTTCTCATATTAAGGAAATCAATGATTATACTTTAAACAAAGACTGAATTAAATATCTTCAATGACTGTTAACAGAATTAACAGAGAAACAATAACTTATCTGAACTAATTAAACTATTTTAATTTAGTATTTTCCTTAAACTGAATTCTAAAATAAAATAACCTCTTATATAACCCGAGAGTATGCTGCAAGGTACAACTAATGATTTCTGCAGACTGGTGACCTAGTGGCCAAGAAATTGGCCTATACACTTCACCAATGTATGACAAGTAACCTGCTTTTGTTAAACAGATTTGCCTACAGTTTAAGGATTTCAATATCAAAATACAAAACTAACGACAGAATAAAGCCTAGTCCGACAGAACAGATGTGCAGACTGACCTGGTTCTGTACTATAGTGGCAAAACTTAATGGATTCCAGCTCCAGCAGGTTACGGTTTCAACTAACAAGAGCTGTCAGAAGGACAGCGCGCTCGACTTTTTTAGTGCTTGCCTATAAAACAAAACTTTGACAGTTAAGGGCACACAAGACTTTAACTAGGAATTTCTAAGTACAAATCAAGAAACATTTTCACAGAGTTATCTTCTCTTGCTTACAGATAGGTCTCATGATGGCACATAAGAACTCCAACTTCCAAAGTAATATCTCAAATGGTTAAGTCAACAAGTGGACAAGAATGAAAATCTTAACTGAGTTTCTAAGTCAAAAAGGGCCATAATTCAAATAAAATCCTTAACAGAATTACCTTCTCCTGCCCATGTTTTGGGACCATGATGGTAAACAAGTATTCCAACTTTCAAATTAATATCTCAAACAGTTCAGTCAAAAAGTGGACTGGTACTAAAAACTTAACCAAGATTCTAAGTCGATAAAAGGCCTTAATTTTTAAAACAAATCCTTGACAGAGTTACCTTCTCTTGCGTACAGATGGGGGTAATGATGTGAAATAGCATTAAAAGTTTCAAAGCAATATCTCAAAGGGTTAAGGCAATAAGTGGATTTTACCCATATTCAATGTATTTTCTAAGTCAAAAAGGGGCATAATTCTGTCAAAAACCTTGACAGAGTTATGTCCTCTTGTCTGTTGATGAAGGTCGTGATGGTAAACAAGTATGGTCAGTTTCAAAGCAATACCTCCAATGGTTTTGAAATAAAGTGAGGTGGTACAAAAAACTTAACCAAGCTCAATACACTTTCTAAGTCAAAAAAGGGCCATAATTCTGTCAAAAACCTTGACAGAGTTATGTACTCTTGTCTGTAGATGGAGGTTATGATGGTGAACAAGTATGGTAAGTTTCAAAGCCATACTTGTAATACTTCTGAAATAAAGTGGGGTGGTACGAAAAACTTAACCAAGGTGTGACGCCAACGCTAACGCTAACGCCGACGCCGACGCCGGGGCGAGTAGGATAGCTCCCCTTTTCATAGAAAAGTCGAGCTAAAAATGCCTTTCTTTTCACTTACCCTTCATTTTTTCTCTGCTTGTGAGCATCAGCATATGTCACTTCCCCTGCTTGTCTCATATAGTCCTTTAAATCCTATAATATATAAAACATCAACATACCATTACATTTCTGCTACTGTTTAATACTGTAAAGATCTTAAAACTGCCTTATATAACAACGATAATAGAGATTTTATTTTAAATGTTTCTTATGTCAACATATTTAATTTCTGTGAATGTAAATTCTGCAAAAGAAAAAAATGCTTTAACATTTTGAAAAAATAAATTTATCTACCAAATAAGAATTTAATTCACCTAAATATTTTCATCACAAAACAAGGAACCTTTTCTGTTTTTTTTAGCCTTGTTTCAACAAAGTATTTTCCTGCAAGCTTATAATCAGGCCATGTTTATACATGTATTCTGTTTACTTTATTCATTACCTACAACGTTCGTCATAACATCAGCTAAGTTATCATCATGTACATGTATCATCATTAAAATCATCAGAGAAACATCAAGAGAATGATCATCATTGAGTAATCATCATCTTCAATCATCAACGTCAGAGATGAGTGACACACACATCTCACATCATCAGTAATCAATCAGCCAGAAATTTTATTCCCCAAATATTTTCACTCATCTGAGCAATCAGCCAGATCTTTTTCCCCCTATTTTGTGCCTCATCTTAGTAAACAGCCAGATCTTTTCCCCCTATTTTGTGCCTCATCTTAGTAAACAGCCAGATCTTTTCCCCCTATTTTGTGCCTCATCTGAGCAAACAACCAGATCTTTTTCCCCTAATTTTGTGCCTCATCTTAGTAAACAGCCAGATCTTTTACCCCTATTTTGTGCCTCATCTTAGCAAACAGCCAGAATTTCTCTACTTTAAAACTTCAGAGAGCTTCATGATTTCATCGAAGGGCCTCGTCAGATTTTGCTGCTTTTATAATATACATCACTGCTTATCTCTTTAATTTGAACCCAATTATATCAATTATAACTTATTTATTCATTTTATACATGTAACTTCTACATGGTAATGCATTTCATTTGTGTGTCTGGGGTTTGGAATTAGTTTGTACATACAGAAATATACAGACGCATTGTTACCCCTCACCAGTGTTCCTGGATTCTGTACCAGTACTTAACTTGTACCTGTAACAAGTAACTTCCATAATTAGCTATGTTAGGATTTTTTTTTCATTTTTCTAGCAATGACCCAAGAGAATAAAGCAGTGATGTGTAATATGCTGACATCAGGACCCGAGTCGGACAGCAGCTGTGTTATTACACCTGACATCAGCCAATCATCAGCCTCAGACACTTACTGACCCCCTCTCATCTCATCTGACAACCAGTGGTTTCACTTTATATAGAGTAATAAATCTATGTGTCAATAAATTCATTAAGATCTTTTCTTTATCACATCAATAATAGAAACTGTCAATCTTTCATAACATTTCATAAAATATAAGAACACTAAAAATCTTAAGCTACAGAATTAATTTGAACAAATGATCATTTTATTTCTTTCAAATGAGTTTGGTATAATTTCTTGAAATATCTATTTATAATTCTGGAAATGAAATCTGTCATTTGTTTAATGTTAGAGGTATTTAAAATACTCGTAAAAAACAAAGTAATGACTCAAAATTTTGAGGCCAGTCAAAATGAAACTTAAGATCTCATTAAAGGCTGGCATTAATGATCAGTCTACTTTTTCAAGAGTCTGTTAACATTTTTTTCATAAACCTTCAATACTTCAAAGTGTATATTTTTCTATTATTGTTCTACTCTTGTCCTAAATCATTAATCCAATAACTGCTCGTTTTTATAGTGAAAAATTTGACTGACAGTTATAACACTTTGTAAAATAACTTTCTTTTCATAAATGTAAGTATTATCAAACAATAAAGTTAAGTGCATCAGTTATCACAAGATGTGGATCAAATAAAGTGTAAGCTTTGGTATAATAAATTAGACTTACCTGCCAGCTAGCACGAGAGGATAAATTCTCCACTATAATCCGGTAATCAGTTCTTGTCGGTGGCCCATACCTATCACATAAATTCTTTATAAGAACTCCAATATCATTATTAAAAATTTGCCTTGCAATGAACATACCAAAAGTTACAAAAAGTTCAAGATGATAATGTAAACTGATATAAATACACATTTATACTGCAGTAGTTTGCTACATGACCAGTGACTAACAATGAAATCTCTTCAGCACTTCTATATTATTAACAAGCACACATCACTTAACTCAAACCAGTTTTTACCTAGAAACACTTTTGGACATGTATTCTTGTCAAATAAATATATACTCTGGAGTTTCATTTAAACTCAGCTAAAATTTACATGTTTAATAAATAAGTAATTTATAAATTGAAAATTATTACACTCACTTAGACAGCCAACTAGGATCGCGCCTGAAGCTTCTTCCACCGCCGCCACCACCACCACCATATCCACCGCCGCCGCCACCACCACCATATCCTCCGCCGCCACCACCACGATCACGTCTTGTACCTCTTGCATGCTCTATCACAACTCTGAAACACATCCATTTTCATTTTACACTTACCTGCTGAATTTGGATTTGGTTTTATGTTTCACCAATACAGTACAAAACATATGGTTAACTGGTGTGTCATGCACCGGACCTGCCTTTTTACTTTTTTTTAGTACGGAACTATTCAATGTGAGTTTGAGGGATTACAATATTCAAATTGCAGAAAACAGGGCCAGGTAAGAATGCACAGGCTAGTAATTGAAGTATTTTAACTGCATATTTGTTTTATAGAAATAATATTAAACTCAATCAAATTAAACACAGTAATTCAACAGTTCAACTACAAAAACAGCCATTCATGACGTAGATAGTGTAACATGAGAGGCTGACAGTCTACCTTCTTTATTGGCTTGCAGAAAAAAAATAGAGACAAATACTTGGATCATTCATTCACATGAGATAAATTGTTTAAGGTATCAATAAGCTAGCTGGATAGAATACTCCGACACATGAAACAAGAGGGCCATGATGGCCCTGAGGTCGCTCACCTGTATATAGCCCCCCACCCCCCCCCACACACACCCATAAGAAGATGTTTCATGCTAAACATCTAAGCTCTAGCTCATTGGGCTTTTTAAAAGAAGATTTTTTTAAATTTTTACTATACACATAGAGTTAAAAACAATGACACCCCTGGGGCGGGGCCAGTTTTGACCCCAGGGCTTTTATTTGAACAAACTTTGTAGACACTTACTAGAAGATGTTTCATGCTTAATATCTAAACTCTAGCTATTTGGGTTTTTTCAAAGAAGATTTTAAGTTTTTGCTATACACATATAAGGAAAATCAATGACCCCCGGGGCGGGGCCAATTTTGACCCCAGGGCTTTTATTTGAACAAACTTGGTAGACACCTATTAGAGCATGTTTGATGCTAAATATCTTAGCTCTAGCTATTTGAGTTCTTTAAAAGAAGATTTTTTAAGTTTTTACTATATGCATATAGGGAAAATCAATGACCCCCTGGGGTGGGGCCAATTTTGATCCCAGGGCTTTTATTTGAACAAACTTGGTAGACACCCATAAGAAGATGTTTCATGCTAAACATCTAAGCTCTAGCTCATTGGGCTTTTTAAAAGAAGATTTTTTTAAAGTTTTTACTATACACATATAGTTAAAAACATAACACCCCTGGGACGAGGCCAGTTTTGACCCCAGGGCTTTTGTTTGAACAAACTTTGTAGACACTTACTAGAAGATGTTTCATGCTTAATATCTAAACTCTAGCTATTTGGGTTTTTTCAAAGAAGATTTTAAGTTTTTGCTATACACATATAAGGAAAATCAATGACCCCCGGGGCAGGGCCAATTTTGACCCCAGGTCTTTTATTTGAACAAACTTTGTAGACACTCACTAGAAGATGTTTCATGCTTAATATCTAAACTCTAGCTATTTGGGTTTTTTCATAGAAGATTTTTTAAGTTTTTACTATACACATATAAGGAAAATCAATGACCCCCGGGGGGGGGGCAATTTTGACCCCAGGGCTTTTATTTGAACAAACTTGGTAGACGCCCATTACAACATGTTTCATGCTAAATATCTTAGCTCTAGCTCTTTGAGTTCTTTAAAAGAAGATTTTTTTAGGTTTTTATTATATGCATATAGGGAAAATCAATGACCCCCTGGGGCGGGGCCAATTTTGACCCCCAGGGCTTTTATTTGAACAAACTTGGTAGACACTCATTAGAAAATGTTTCATGCTAAATATCTTAGCTCTAGCTCTTTGGGTTCTTTAAAAGAAGATTTTTTAAGTTTTTACTATATGCATATAGGGAAAATCAATGACCCCATGGGGCGGGGCCAATTTTGACCCCAGGGCTTTTATTTGAACAAACTTGGTAGACACTCACTAGAAGATGTTTCATGCCAAATATCTAAGCTCTAGCTCTTAGGATTTTTTAAAAGAAGATATTTAAAGTTTTTTCTTTCGGTTGCCATGGCAACCAGAGTTCTGCATGGAATTAAATTCTTTGAACAATTTTTAAAGGTGACCACCAAAGGAACATTCCTGTGAAGTTTGGATGAAATTGGCCTAGTGGTTTATGAGGAGATGTCATTTAAAGTAAAAGTTTACGGACGACGGACGGACGGACGACGGACGGACGACGGACGCCGGACAAAAAGCGATCACAAAAGCTCACCCTGTCACTTTGTGACAGGTGAGCTAAAAATTAAATCCCCACAATATGACTTGTGCCAACAGCAGTGTCTGTGACAGGGTCAGCTGACATAGAAAGTCATTTTTAACAAATAAAGTTATAAACATATAAACATGTATTCTTACCTTTCACCCATAAGCTCTTTCCCATTCAATTCATAAACAGCATCATCTGCATCCCTGTCATCTTCAAACTCCTGTAAATGTAAATATATTTCAGAGTTTTAAATGGATTGAAATATTCTGTAGTTTTTAATGGACTGAAATATTCAAACACAATTTACGCACATTCTATATTCAAGCTGATGAAGTTCAGATCTACATGCAACATGAAAAGATCTGAATTTATCTCAAGATTTGGATATACAAGGACCTCCAATTTTCAGACCACAAGGCATGTTTGAAGTTACATGCAAATATCTTAAGTGTTAGTTGATGCAAATACTCTTTGACATTGAAACCTCGTGAGCATAAAAATAGCCCCTAAATTCATCAAACAATTAGCTAAGAGTTGTAGGCCAAGTGAAATATTGTGAAGTATATATGTGACTTATATCAAATTATATAAGATCATTTGATACACCTTTATTTATTCCTCTTCATTTGTATATATTAAAGACAAAAAGTTCCTTACCACAAAGCAGTATCCATTCTTTAGCATCACATCTCGAATTCGTCCATAACCCTTGAAAAATCTCTCAATATCTCTTTCTCTAGCATGGTGAGACACCCGACCAACATATACACGTGTCCCCATTTTCTATGCCAAACTCTTAAAATACAATAAAGCAAAACAAAATATATTATAATGATACTTACATGTACATTTTATCACTTAACATATTACTTTTCATAAAACTGTTAAGAAATATTTTTCATTACACATACATGTATATAACTTTATTTTTATTATAACAATTGGAGATTTACAATTTTTTATTCCAATTTTGGGGTTACTCAACTTTGCTATTTATGAACTTATAAAGAATTTGCTTGCATTTTTTATAAAATATTAATAACAACATCAATGATATTTAAAGAGATTTTTGTAAATATAATCGCTGTTGATTATAAAAAAAAGAGATTTATGATAATGCGATCTACTGCCTACTGCCGTAATCGGTCTACAATTTGGTTATTTATGATTTATTTTATGAACATTTCTTTTGCGGTGGCTTGGCTTAACTTAATAGGGAACGATCTGAGATAAGCATCGTATATGTCACTGATAAGAGACCTGTTCTAAAAATAGCCACATATCGATAAGTTTCGGACAAGGAAACTGGTTAATCTACATGTAGATTATACAACATGTAATGGTTACGAATACTTTTATTCACATTTCTCTCAATGGAAATGATGTTCCTGGAGTTAACCTTGCGTAAAGCATGATTGAGATGGTTTATAACCATCAGGAAAATAAAGATGATATGGTGAAAAAGAAATAACTTTCGGGCAATACTTTCCCTGCATGTCAATTTGAGAAAAATGCCGGCACTTGGCAATTTGTCTTTGTTTCACTGTTTATCAAAATTTGAAATGGTGAGATGATATTGTATGATTTTAAGAAATTGGGACTAAAAATGAAAGTATCTTTCTGTCCCAGATACACTGTACAAAATTTTGTTTCTATGTAAAATACGCAGATTAGAGAAGTCATGAATCTATCCACCAGAGTGCTACAAGTAATTAGATTAATGATTAATTATCTTAATTCTTTAATAATTTTAGAATAAGCAAAACTCTGCATTTTTCCTATTTTACCAAATAAAAAAATGCTGATTCTAGTATTTGTTTTATCAGAAATAATGTATACGTACATGCATGCTTGCATGTATAGTTAAACTGAATTGACAATTGAGGTCCGTGATTTAACATACACTGTTTACGTATAGACAATAAAATACATTTGTTTTTATTTCCCTCGGATATCATATGTGTCACACAAAATATTTGTTAGGGGTGTGGATCGTCGGATAAGTGACGATCCGATCCGAACCACGATTCAGCACTTACGATTCACAAATCGAACCACAAATCTTTTGTTATCAAGACACCCATAAAAACATGTACATTAGTTATAAAAACATGTTTTTTTTAAAAAACAAAAAACACAACAACAACAATATACTAAACATTAAAGATATAAAATATAAACTAGGTTTATGTTTTTATTCTTTGGATGAGTATTTTTGTTTTGTTTTTTGAAACCAATTACTTCCTAGCTCAGCATCATGGTACATGGTCTTTAACCGACAAATTGTATAAAAAATTTAGGTAAACTTCATATAATTTATACTCAAATCGTATTTTTCTCGATTTTAAGAGTGTGAGAAACAGTGAAAGTATATAAAAAGATTAAATTGCGATCCACGATCACTGGGCTTACGAATATTCAAACTCGATTCGTGATTATCCGAGTACTCGGATACTCGCCCCAGCCCTAATATTTGTTGTTAAAATCATCGCCAATTACTGGTGTATTTTTTCAACTTTTTTTATTAACAAGGTGGAAAGATGTATATAGAGGTCAGACTCTGTTACATATGTTTAAATTTAACTTTAAAAAAAGTACAGTGTTTAGTTGTCCCTTTTCTTTTCACACTAAATTCCATTTCCAACTTGTTTGCTTCCTACAATTGTATTAAATTTCTTAAAATATTGCATGTAAACAAAGTAAATATACGCTGATTAACATCATGTATAATGTGTACCCCCTAATCCCTTGTTCGAAAGTCAGTAGTGAGTACAGGTGATGTAGTGGTGATTAGGTAAAATCTATTTTTAGAACAGTGTTACCTTCAGATCGAAGGCTATTGACCGACTTACTGGAATTGGTGGGGAATTACTTAAATATTATTATAGGGCAAGTTGACCTGTGCGATGTTGGTATAGGGCCAAGATGACTCAGGAGCCGAGTTTGTAGTGCTGTTAGTATTTAGAGATTAGCATTGCCTACATGTATTTAATTAAATATGCATACTCCGAGAACTCTTTCTTTGAGCCTTCTTTCATAAACAGACACTTTAGATTGTTTTTGGCAAATAAGTGTAATTTTAATGCCACTGATTGAAAATAATATGTTATTGCAATTCAACACCATGTCATCATAAAGAGGGATTTGTGACACCAGTTAAAAACCTGTGGCTGTTCATACAAGTTTTGGCTGGATGACTAAATAACCTAACGAACTAGCTATTGCGGACCTTTTTTTTAATGCTGAAACATGTTTGGTGCAGATTTTTGACGCATACAAGTCATGGTCCTTTGATACTGATTTCCTCACTTTCTACCCCATTTTCAATTTTGGGAGCCAATTGTGCAAAAATCGTGACCTCCGCAGATCTCTGATTATATCAAGTCCTCTTTTAATACCTCTGTAAATGAGTATTAGAATAGTCTTTGATATTGGGTTTTCAATAAGGTACAATGGCATTAGGCAACAAGGCAGGGATTTGAACTCACATGAATTTGGTTTGATGACATAGATTCTAAGCAAAAAATGGCTTTGTGGTGAAGTGTCTGAGGGCAGGGCTCACACTGGCTCAAATAAAATAATAGCCAATATTTTTAACTTAAAAAATAATAGCCAAAAGTTCAGCGGACTATTCTTGATTCCATAAGCAGTTGATTAAATAAACATTACATATAAAAAAATTCAGTTTTAGAAGGATTCTCAAATAAACTGATACATTTGTGTATATTGATAACTACCTTTTTTACATAGAACCACAACTTAAATTGTTATTATAGAACAGAATAAAAATGTTATATAGTATAATTACTGTCTACTGTTACAATAATATTAAAGATTCATTATAACTTTACATAATGCTGTTATTAGACAATTTCTTTTGTTTGTTCTTATCAAATTTTGTCAGCTATAACCAGTCAATTTCCACATTTCACACAGAACTGGAGTAGATCTAGGTCATATTAGCCTATAGAAATAACATTCAAACTCATTCACAAAATGCAGCATTTTTCTGAATAACTTACTGAAAAATGTCATCATCACCAATGTAATACAATTTGTCTGCCATAACAGTAAAGATTTTTAAACAGAATATGGCTTATTTTCACCTTAAAAAAATGAAAATTAACGGTGTCGCGAAAATATGTGACAATCGGATTTTTTCTTGTTTTCCAGAGCTCCAGATAGCGTGCGTATAAGCGTAAAATACGCATAGAAAATCTAAAATACGCATCACTTTCAAAATTCGTGCGTCACAGTTACGCACAACAAAATGAAAATACGCTCGTATGTCAAAATTTATGCGTGAAGGAATAGAAGTGTAAACATTTGATACGTAAAAGAAAATGTTTTGAGCATAAAAATACAATATATTTCCATTTTATTGCATTGAAAACTAAAATTTCTGTTGTCAACAACGCATGTTAAAAACGAAAGTAGCAGGAAATACAGAAGGGAGGTAACTCCCGTACAACCTGATGAAATTTGTGCCAGATAATCATCGTAGGAGTTAACACAGTATTAAGTTTGTTTAGGCATCTATTGACATGCTTATGCCTCAATATTGACAAAAATATATTTTAATTTCTTTAACTTTTGTGGTTGGAACAAAATAACATGTTTTTCACCTGCAGTTTTGTACTTAATATTTTCGTACCCAGTCTAAAGTTACGGACAATTTTCTCTCAGATCAATACTTTTTTTAAGGAAAGATAAAAAAAAATCTTGTTTATGTTTCTTTAATTCTAATTTCAACTATAACTGTTCAGAGATTTTGAAGTCTTTGACTTCCAAATTTTGAAAATGGAAGCCCTGATAATTTTGCTGTGTATCCTAAACTTGAGTTCAAGTATACTCTGGAAGTCTGATTTTACATGGCATGCTTTGTATTGTTTCACATTAAATCAGTATTTAATTTGTAAAGGTTTTTCTAAAAAAAAAAAAATAATAAACAAACAAACAAACAAACAAAACAATAAGTTTAATTTGTTTATAAAAAATGCAAAATGCTTTTTTGACAGATTTTACCCCTCAAGTTTTTCAGAATTTGCATTTTACCCCTCACTCTAAATTTTGAGGGGTAAAAACCCCTTGGCCAAAAAAATTATCTGGAGCTCTGGTTTTCTGAAGAAATATTCACAATTTTGGTTGTTGTGCAAATAGTTGTTTGGAAGTTAATACTTTTTAAATATTTTATCATTTTTTTTACACTGACGATTTAGTCAAGCAGCTTAAAACCAAAAAATCAAAATTTGCAATTTACGCAAATTTTGGGTTGGCCAATATCCAGTTTATCAATTTTAAGATGATTTTTTGTGGCTAAGGCCATCCTTAATAATATATATGTTTGCTATTGCCGACCCAGAGTTATAAGGAGTGGGTCGGTAGGTAGGCTTTTTTTTTTTTTTTTTTTTTTTTGATATATAATTTTGACTGAACGTAAGTTAATACGCTTAGTACGTTGTAACAGATTGTGGAAATTTGGGCTACACTATCATCATCGGCAAAACTAACATGTAAAAGACAGTCAAAAACAATAAAAAACATGTTCACTAGTAATCATAACATGAAATAAAAAAAATGACTATGTGGACATAAATTCAAGCATGGTCAAATTACCGATGTGATAAACTAATCCTGCGTAAATATTCCCGTACGAACTGGTGGATCACCAGGACATTTCGTTCTCACGGATGCATGATCATTACTCAATTTATTACACGTCTGTAAAAAATAACACACGCAAGATTTGTCTCCTATAATTTCTGAATGGCGGATCGTTAAAATATTTCATTGTTAGTTACCGAAAATTATCGCAGATTGTTGAAATTCCATAGCGCTAAAAGACACAAAAACACTCGCGCAAAAAGTAGCATCCATAAATAAAAGGAATATAATGTTTCCATTGTTAAATATAAATACAAAATTTACACACGAAATGACCTCTGACAAATGACTGGTCGGCTCTTCTGAAGAATCTGTGAATCTTTGATGTTTACACACCTGTAGTTGTTGCCGAATCATCAAAGAAATGCCGACACTCAATTGACTTCCACCTCTTTTTTATATATCAGAAAAAAACTGTCATTTCTTTTTGTCAAGGAATGATTACACATGTTTAATTATTGCTCAAGTAAAAAATGTTGGATATTTATCGTGTCAATTATTGACATATTATTAATCGTAAGTGCATTTTGACATGGAGTTTAATTAGACGTATGTAAATCTGTGATTTTGATTGTGATATTTTATTTACATTTTTATGATCTTGAAGATATTTTGCAATACTTGTGTCTGCTATCAAAACAATAATGCATATGAAATGACCACAGCTTCCAAAAAAATATTTTTTCGGTCAATTTTATGACAGAATCCCCGCTGCTACCAGAAATGTACGTTTTATTGCATGGGCCACGGATTTTAAATCCGTGCATGGGCTAAGTATTTAATCTGTGTCGGCAGTCATAAACAAACGAACATGTACTCCAAAGCACATTAAAATTACCACATGGTAAACTAGTGACCATATAAATGCTTTACAAATATTCATTAACTGAAAAAACATTATTTTTAATCCCGTTTCCACACCTTAATTTGATACGTTCTATTATTAGTTAATTCGACTTAATTGCCGCGCGCATGCAGTACTGCGTGACGTAAGGAAAATATCCTTCCCTGGTTGGTCGCTATTTATGTAAATACTTTAAATAGTAACGCACAGAATGCCCTCATGAATGATCACTCGTTACTTTACATATTCAATGTGTGATTTTCCTCCGATTTTATTTTTGTTTTCGAGGGAATGTTTTAGGTGGAATGCCCTGGCTGATTTGGCGGAAATAAAAAAAAATCTGATTTTTTTAAGCTGAAAAAAACTTTTGAGTCGGGGCATTTTCGCTGGGTCGGCCGGCAATAGCAAACAGATAATTTTTTAAGAGTGGCCTAATTGACGGATATTTGATGGCTATTATAATGCTGGACAATATCTTTAAAGTACTTATACAATTTTACACCTTGCATGTATTTTTATCACCTCGGGCAATATAGTAAGCAGCACGCAACCGATAAAAAGTTGACACTCAATTAAATCCACGTCGCTGGTGTTAATTGGGTCTACTGCACAATCTTTATCGATTTTTACACCTTATATAAACACTGTTGGAAGTAAAAAATAATCGCCAGATTTTGTAGCCAAAATGCAAAAATAATCGCCAATCTTATAAAATAATCGCAAAATTATGGCGACTATGGCGACCGACAGCGTGAGCCCTGGAGGGGGGATTCCGGGTCAGCTCCACCCTAAAACGTACTCGGCCCCCCGAGTCAGCTCGGCCCTCTACAAACTCGGCACGGGTCAACTCGGCCCACTTTTCAATTATTTATATTTAGGTTTGTGTAATCACTATTTTTTGTAATATTTGTAATTATGTATAATACACGGACTTAATTTTCAGCTTTTGACAATTACAAACAAATTAAATGAAATTGGTTAAAGACATTAAAGGGACTCTTATTGTCACAGGCTATTATTATCAATCAGTGTGTTCGTAAGGATACCGATTAATTAGGTGATAATTATGATTGACGCATTCATTAAAAATTGATTAGTGACCACCTGCAATTAATTAGAAGCTTAATTATGATATTAAGTAAACATGTTTTTGTTTGATATTTTTTTTAATATTACTACGTTAAATATATTTTTTTAAAGTGGGCCGAGTTGACCCGTGCCGAGTTGGTAGGGCAGCACGAAATACCCAAATATACCCAAATACACCCAAATATTGCCCAAATATACCCAAATATTGCCTAGATATACCCAAATATTGCCCATTTATACTAAAAATAAATGTTTTATACTAAAAAAGTGCTGTTTTAATCATGAATACAATATACACTTTCACTAAGATATAATCATTTGTACCCAAATATACATTTTCTTATTATTGTGTTTTGAACCAAAATACAGTATATGTACTTTATTAAAGCTATTTTTTTAATAACATGGACATTCTTCTTCTGTATGATATGAAATTTCAACAAAATTACACCTTAAAATGTAAGTGTAGACAACAAATATCATATCTTGAATTAAATTTGCAAGTACAAAGTATAAAGAACCTATATTGTAGATAAGCAAATGTCACGTACAACTTTATTTTCTTACAACATCTTAACTGCCCATTTCAACGGAATGAATTAAAGTTATAGCAGGCTAAGTCATATTATTTTATAAATATTTATTTATTTCTCATTATTATCTATATTTTATACGAACAAAAATAAATATTGCTATATTTGGGTATATTTGGGCAATATTTGGGTATATTTGGGTGTATTTGGGTATATTTGGGTATTTCGTGCCGCCGAGTTGGTATAGGGCCGAGTTGACTCTTTTCCGGAGGGGGTGAACTGTCTGTAAATCAGTCTAACATACACAAATGGCGATGGCTCCACTTTACAAAATCAATTTTTTGTCGGAGCTAGAATTAAATGCGTATGCACAAGAACCTTAATATGCCACAACGTATTTTTTATTGATTTTTCATAATCATAAAATTATGAAACCATAGTCATGATAGAAGGGTCATAATTTTATCAATGATTAAAAAGACAGGCACGTAATGATGTATTCCCTACGAAGCAAGACATACTTTTGTCACTTATGCAACAGAATTTGTCTGAAATAAATGTTAAATTGCTAAATAATAAGTTGTTTTTTCACTTACAATTTTTTAAGTCAAACAACAAAAATGGCGTGCTTTCCAAAACGGTGCACATGTAAAGTTAGTCATTCATGACAGATGTAGGGAAGAAGAAAAATATCGAATCTTGTCCATAGGAACTCTGGAACAGGACCGCATATTGCGGCGCATAAATCCGAATCCGTACCGGCTTTACATATTGTTTGTCGGACCTTTGAATATCTTTTCATATTATGCGAGCGGGTGGTCTTTATTTATCTAATCTCAATTAAATATAATCTGCTAATTTAAAAATCAGTCAAATATACGGTATATTGAAAAAAGAAAAGGAGTGACATCCGCCATTTGCCGCAACGTTCGGCGTAAGTTACCCCCCTTGATATGCTTGATTTTTGTTTTAATTTTTCTAGTAATGAATACGAGATGAGTGCCTGAAATATTTATCTATGGATCATGTTTAAATATTCCTTTTATCAGTTAGACAAAATCAGTTGGACCATATTACTAAAGTGTCTGTTTTCTCCATTTTAACAAATCAATACACAAATACGCCCGTTATAATGCCGCCTATACATGTCAACACGTGTACAAACAATAAACCGTTAACGTTATATCCGGACGATACCTGATAGTTGACAAAAATAACGGGAACAAAATTCTGAAAAAATAGTAATCAATTGTAGCCAAAGGGGAAAAACTCATGCCGAAAACGTTGCGGCAAATGGCGGATGTCACTCCTTGTCTTTTTTTATAATACCGTAAAATTTGACCAATTTTAAAAGAGACAGATTGGGTTCAATTGATAATATATTTTTTGAGTCCATTCACTCGGATAATACTAAAAGATATTTAGATGTAGCAGAAACGTATTTAAAAACCGTTACAAGATCGAAAATATACGCCGCAATCTGCGGTCCCGTTCTCGAGTTCCTATGATCTTGTCAACATACACTAAACATAGATCTAATGCATTTGTAAGGAAAGATTTTTAAAGTTAAGGATAAATAATAATAAAAAGAATATCTATCAGATGGTATGTATACGTTTTTATTCGCTCGGACGTTCATAGATAAATATAGATAATAGTTTTTAGACTGTAAACAGGGTCAGCAACCACTAAATATGTTAACGTGACACATATACAGACTACAGTGGCACTCTGACACACGGTATGCCTAAAATACGAAAGTGAGATTTTTGACGAAAGTGAGCGAAAGTGAGCGAAAGTGACTTTTAAAATTTGAATTGTACCGTTTTAATAGAATTTTATAGTAAATTGCTATTTGCAGACATATTATAAGAAACTTATAATATTTCTTTTCAAAAATAATCACTATGATGATTTAATCGCCATTTATTTGCATAATTTCTATGAACAAGTTCTGAAACTTTCCTTTCGCTCACTTTGAAAAATACGAAAGTGACTTGTAAAATATTAAATATAGAAGTCTACTTATAGAGTTTAAATTGAAATTTATACTAAAATTGCAGCTTGTAGACGTATATTATCAGAAATATATAATATTTATTTTCAAAAATAATCATTATGATAATTTAATCACCATTTGTTTGCATAATATCTATACACAAGTTCTGAGATCTTCCTTTCGTTCACATTAAATAATACGAAAGTGACTTGTCAAATATGAAATAAAGCGTTGAATTGAAAGTTATACTACTAATATTGCATATTCAGGCCTAGTTTAATACATTTTCAATTTAAACTCTATTTCTAATAGTTTACTAGTCACTTTCGTATTTTTCTATGCCAGCAAAAAGGAAGGTAACTAAACTTGAATATAGAAATTAGGCAAATAAATGGCGATTTAATCATGATTATGGTTATTTATTATGATATATATACTAAGTTGCTAATAATATACGTCTTCAAACAACAATTTTACCGTAAACTTCTATTAAAACGGTGCAATTTAAATTTTAAAAGTCACTTTCGCTCACTTTCGCTCACTTTCGTCAAAAATCTCACTTTCGTATTTTAGGCAAACCCCTCTGACACATTTGGAAAGAAAAAAGATCTGAATCTAAGAATTGTAAAAACCACGAAAAAACCACAGACACTTGGGGTTTGGAGCTCAAAACGCCTTTAAAATAAAAAAAAAAATGCATATTTGTCAATCCCAGCACATGTACTGATCATATATATCAAAAAAACTTAATATAAGCCGTTTTGAAAAAAAATCATATTTCAACATCTATAATAATTATTATAGATGTTGAAATATGATTTTTTTTTCAAAACGGCTTATATTAAGTTTTTTTGATATATATGATCAGTACATGTGCTGGGATTGACAAATATGCATTTTTTTTTTGATTTTAAAGGCGTTTTGAGCTCCAAACCTCAAGTGTCTGTGGAAAAAACGACTGAATTTATAATAACCCATAGGAATACAACTAAATCAGTGATCCGATAAATACAAATTTATACAAAATAGAATGACCAGTTGGATGAACCAATAAAAAATTCTGTATTGTATCGATAGTTAATAGATTTTAGATAAATCGAAAATACTCTAAATTCTATCATATAACCAATATTAATGATAAAATCCAAAAATGACACCTATATACTATAATTTAATAAATAAACAAGTGAGCCATTGAATATGAAGTGATATTCACCAACAGATGACAAGGTGATAGCAGAGTCTGAGGTCAATATCATTTTCTGCCAGTGAATATCACATCATATTCATTGACTCACTTGGTCAATAACTGTTTTATTATATGAATAGTCTAAGATTTATAAAAATAAATCACAAAAACTTCAGCCTTATATACAACTATTACCTGTTTCATAGAAGCTCATGAAGAGACGCATGCAAACAATAATTTCTTTGTTCACTTCACAATATTTTACTTAAAGTTTTTATACATTTTCAAAATTTAAATGAACATTAGCAGGAATCTGGAGGCATTCTGCTTTAATTTCAAATAGAGGCCTTCTGTATAAAACTGTTGATAAGGAAGATATGAATTAGGTATCTAGTTAAATATACTATACATGCTAGTTAAAAAAAAAATCATGAACAATGTAACTGATGGAAATACATGTATATAATATTACTATACTTGTATATAATTACTTTGTTGTAATAGAAAAGATATACTGGTACCTGATTATGCAGTCAAAACAAGATGCAATGTGCACGTATATATAGGATACTCAAGTATAATAAGATTTTTTATTTTTAGTAAAATTTTGTAAATTCCTGCAATTTATTCCAGATGAAAAGCCCATGGAGTAAAAAACAATTGTCTTCAACCTGAATAAATGACATTGTGATAGAAAATAACAGATCATGTTAATGTATTACAGAAGTTTTACTTTACAGTAAAAAGGCGCCCCAAGATGTCACAACAACTGTTGTAAGCAAAACTGTCTGAGAAGATGGATGATGATATATGTATTATGTATACAAAATTACTTATGAGATTAAATAGGAAGTTGTCTGTAATGCATTATTTAGGTCTTAGGAGAGTGCAATCTGACTGTATTGGTCTTTCACCTTGTGTTTCAGTAGGTATTAGGATTGTCATACAAACTTTAATAATGGATGATGGGACATTATGATAATTTTTGTCTAGGAGACAATCCCTGTGTATTGTAGAGTGATAGCTATGTGAACATCATGCCATTAATTTGTCATTCTGTATATCTCCTTAGAAAAGTCAGCTGTCAATATTAGAATAATACAGTATTGGAAGTTCCTGTTATTTTTCCGGATAGTGAAAATCAAATGTAAATTGCAGCATAATATATGTAGATCTATCAGTATTGTAGATTTTAGTTGCTTCATATTTTCATATATCACATCACATCACATCAACTTAAAATAATGATACAAATTATGTTGGTGTGGTAAAACAGAAAGTTTAAATGTCACCAATTTGTGATGTATTTTTGTATTATAGATATTATTATTATCATTATTATGAAATATGACATTGATTTGACATTTATAAAGATACAAAAGCCAGGTTCAGTAGGAGACTAATAGCAAAAAAAAAAATGGTACCTGTACATGTTTGTGCAACTTTATAATGATAACAATTTAATTAATGTTCTCGGAGTACTAGATAGGAAGTCTGTACTACATAATTTTATATATACTGTTTAAGTTAGTGCTCAATAACACTGGTACCCTATCCATTCTTATAGAACCATCAATGCAAAATTTGAAGACTTGTGCTGCTGTTGTCCAACAGGACCAACTGTGAGAAGTACTTCATAGCATAGGATTATAGGATTATCTATCTACAGTGATACACACAGGTTTACGGTGCATTGATTGGTCATTTTTTACATTCAATAGTTTAAGGTGCATTGATTGGTCATTTTTTACATTCAATTGCATGGTCCCTGTAAAGACCAAAGCATTATCATAACCCAAGTCGATTTTATACATGACACTAACATAAAGTTTGTTAAGCATGATCTCTTAACAATTAATGCACACATAAAACATTAATATTTTAAGTGTATATGAAAATCACATTTCTTAAAACAGTTTTATTTCAAATATCTACTTTCGTTTTCTCAAATTGCTATGGATCACTTCTTCAACAATAACTTGTAATATTAAAATGTTACAGCCAAAATATTAAAATATTAATTGCAAAACATTTTATAATTGAATCGTGTGCAACATTCTTTTGTTTTTAAATGATCTTTTAACATTTTGTGTAATGATACCTTGCAAAACAAGCCCAAGGGTTCACGAAGGATTAAATGAATTATATATGTATGAGAAAAGGCCACTCACATTATACGTTAAAGCAAATTTTCATTTTTTTTTTTTTTTTTCAGATTTATTTCAATTAGACTTAAAATGTGTGTGTACCATATCTTTTAAAATAACAGTGTGTTCTGTACCATTTCAACATAACTTTATGAAAAAATGCTTAAACATCACTGCATTAACTTTATGAAAATATGCTTAAACATCACTGCATTCACTAGAAACAATGTACATAGTAAATCTGTAAGATTTAGCATTCATTTTGCTATGATACAGTGTAAAAGAACGGATGACTTGCTAGAAATCGCTTGTTGTGATAAATGAGTGTGTACCGTTCCCCTCGGCCCCCGCTATGAAAACAAAACTGTACTCGAATGTTCCCAAAAACCGTTCAAGGGTTTTCAAAATTTTGATTATCCGTAGGTAGCTGATATAATTACGGGTACTCTGCGCCTTATCTGATCAAATTCAGTTGAGTAACAGCAAAGTTATTGATAAAAAACATACCTGAATTGTGAAAAATCTGTGTGTACCGTACCCGAAAAGTGACATGGTATGGCCACATTGTTATTTGTACATGTATGAAGGTATTAAAAGTGTTTTCTCCAAAAAAAATTATGACATATCACTAAGTAAAGTAGATTTAGATTTTGCTGTTTCTACAGGGTATGTACAATGTATATCTTAAATGGCATCAACATTTAGATGTCAAATAATAGTACATTTGTAACTATGCAATTTAAATTAGCCAACTATCTTTAAGATCCATTAAACTTGCAAATTACGAATTGATGTACTGTTATCTACATAACAGGTATTTATGCAACAAGATATTTCAATGTTTTCTATATGGTTAAATTGAAATTTCTTCTCCATTCAATAAAAGATGTTCCTGTATATAGAATTTTTCAAAACAAATTGAAAGGGGAAATAATGTGAAAGGAAATTGCTTACTCAGAACATTACATGAGTAGAATATATATATACCTGAGTATGAATTGTATTTGTATCTTTGTATCATTTGAGGTAAATTAAGTTTTTTAATCAAGGTTTTTTTGGGTTTTTTTTTTTTTGGGGGGGGGGGGGGTTCCGTTCAAACCTTACTCATTTCAACTTATATCATTTCACTAGAGGATTACAGTGTCTTATTTATAGTTACAAAGGCTTAACTGTAGATTGTAAATAAATGATGACCATTGCTTTTTTTCTTGGCACACAGATGATTTTGTTAAGCAAATATATTCATTCATCCACATTGTACAATCTAATATAATCTTGTATGCATGCTGTTGGAAGTTAGAACTTCTTCAATTATAATATCAATACTAGTTATTTGCCTTGAGTAGGCTGTCTCAGGGAACCAATATCACCATTGATGACTGGCAGAGAAATGGATCAATGCTATATAGCCTCCATCTACAGCCGTGCAACATATGGGATCACGCTATCGCTATATCGGACCAAATATCAACTACCTGTGCCTGTGTTTAGTTTTGCTTTAATTCTAATTGTGGATTTTTAAATAGATCACTCAATCTGGAAAAACAGTGTAAGCTTTAAGAACCAAAGGGTAATTTTTTTCAGTTTATTTGACCATTATAATCTAAATTTATTGAGTCATGAATGAATGACTAATTGCTTATACATTGAAGTTCTTTAAAAAAAGGTTTATCTTGACAAATATATTGACATGGTGTTGTGTGTGTATGTACAGTTTACAGTATTGCATGTTTCCTTTTGATGTATATTGTATATGGTATTTATAAACATGTTTTGTTGGAAGTTCAATATGTGCTGTTGATACAGAAAGTGAAACAAGCTTACCATATGGTGCATAATAGATATTATATCTGATGTAGCAACTTTAATTAACAATCATGTCATGCGTGTATTACTTTTGTATGTAACAAGTTTGTGTAAACTTTTCAGCTTGGCATATGTGTTACTGATTTATTTGCTGTTATGACTTAGTACTTTCGTACATCTAACCTGAGTGTACTTATTAACATATAATGAGATACAATTTTTAGATTTATTATGTATGATGAAAAAAATCAATGAGATCAATATCAAAATTGTGGAATCAGTGCTGGTTAACAAATACAGTAACTGAAGCTTTCAGTATGCATGGGTAAGCTTAACTTGAATAAATATTGTCACAGTCCTTGTGGAGACGATGTGATTGGAGGACAGGAGGAAAAAATGGTCAATTCCTACTAACTGTTCTATTTTAGAAATAAAAACATTAGAATCATTTAAAGTATTAACTTTCCTGTCTGAAATTTCTATTTGTATGGAAGAAATATGATTCAATTATAAATATATAATTCATCAGCATATCTGTTTGTATTTCGTATCTATCTTCTGTACATATTACATCACTTTACTTTATTCATTGTAAAACAGCAATTCACAACAATATAAATAAGAATTTGGCTGCATGACAATATATATTTATACAACAACATAAGAAAGAGAAAAAGACATTAGCATATAAAGGAAATTAATAATTCAGTCTAGCAATAGATCTCTGGTGGCATGGCAGTGGGAAATAGAACAAATGATTATAGCTTAACCCTAATCCCTACCTACGGTATATGTACTAAGAACATCAGAGAAATGCGAAATGAATATGGGAATTTTTAATTGATTTTTTTTCATAAATCTATATTTTTTTGTTGTTGTTTTTTTATATAGCTCTATATATAGATGATGTCATATATATTATACATAATTACTATGACAGGTTTCTAGGAAAATCCTAAATATCATGTACAAGTTTTACCATTTTAGCTTCTCAGAACAGTCAGCCAATCACAATAAATTAGGTAATCTGTTGCACTTATTTTGAAACTTTAAAAGTTTGTTTGTACCCCCACATTTTTTAAGCTGGGTTAACCCAAATTATTCTTACTATTAATATATACATGTACATGCATGAATGTCACATTCTATCAGAAATATACTACAAATGTGTTGTGTTTTTTATACAAAATATAAAAATTGAGCTACCAACAGTACAGAGCCTCTACAGGCGAGCCTGCTATACTGGTGGCAAGGGCTAATTGTATTTTGGTTCCAACAGGTTAAGTGTTAAGCATGTAACACATTAAAGGAAATCAAAATGCTATTAAATACCTTTTTTGTTAAACCTAAAAGTAACATATGTTCTGAACAGGAAATAATGAGCCCATATGGTATGATAATCCAGAAGTTGGTAATTTGTCACAAAAATCAATAAAACTGCCAGTACATAGCAGTATTTGCTAATGAGAAAAACAACACTTTTGTTTTGGGAAATACCACCAAATTCTGTTGTGCAGTTTAAATTCGTGATTTATATCTGCATCAGACCTTGTATATAAAGGATACTATATACCTAGGGATTTAATTCATTGAAATTAAGTTAGTCCATTTATGGATTAGTTGTGGAATGGAATTAGTTTGGAGGTTTGGGGTTTTTTTTGGAGTATGTTTTAAATGTCACTATTATCCTGGAAATTTACCCAATCTTTGATACATTTGACTTTTTGCTATTGATGAATGAATGCATTTTGTTAGTTGTTCATTTATTCAGTGTTTTGTTTGTCTGTATATTGTTAAAATTTTATAATTTCATTTTAACTGTTTAGTTTAAAAATATTTACATGTATTTAAGAAGGTCTTGCAAGTTATATTAATAATTTTTTAGTCCACTTCCTTGAACTTGTACTGGTGTCTGATGAGGAAACACTTGGCGTCTTGACCAAAGTAGGACCCAAACCTGTTAGCTCAGGGTTGAGAGGCAAGCACCTTAACCACGAGGCCACTAACAGTTTCCCTCACTTAGTAGAATAAATCTGTTGCAGTGTTCAGACTACCAGATTACTTAAAAAAAATTACAGGTATTGAAATATTGATACCAGATGAATATTCTTTCCCATCCTTAACAAAAAGGTGGTGAATATTGGCAATTTTAATACCTTTGTATTGATTTAGATTTTCATAATTGTCACATCACTATAGTGATTTATTATGCTATGATAGCAGAAAACTTTAATAGCAAGGTTTTAGTTGTGACAGCTACAAGCTAATTATCAGTTTCAAGATATGTTCCCACCTGAGCTTGAATCCTGGAGAGACACGCTCTTTAGTTTGTAAGGCCAACATTGCCTTTGTGATTGAACTTTATTAAACAAAGATATGTAGCTTCATAGCCTTGTCATTGTCCTGATTAGCCAACTAATATTTAAAGTAGAGTGCATGTACATGTTCTATTACAAAGTAAAACTTGACCAAAAAATAAAATTAAAAAAAAAAACAACAAAAAAACATGCTTGTATCTTATTATGACAAAACTACATTATGACAAAAATTTTAGTAAACGGTTATATGGTTTTGATGTGACAATATGTCCTTGAGCCATCATCAGTTAGATATGAATTAATATCATAGATCATAGATTATTTATCATGTATGTAAGTGGTTTTATCATTTTATTTATTAAATAGGACATGTTGTGATTTTTATATACACAAATAGCTATATTTAGATTTAGATCTCATTCACATGTGACATACCAAATATAAAGTAGATATCGGTATACCAAAGGGCAGGTAACTCTATAAACATGGAATAAATATATGTGTTGTAACTATAGAATGTTTACGTAGATTTTTATTGTGATTTCTATTGATTGATTATCTACATTATGTTTGTATGGTTTATATAGGGAATTCACTGTTAAGGTGTGGAAAACATTCTCACTCAAGCTTCTGTTTATATAGAAAGATTAAATCTACCATGTCTTGTTTCTGTTTGTCCCTCATTGTTCATAAAACATGCCGTCTGCATAATTTATCAGGATAACAAGCATACAATAGCTTTATTCAAATTGTTATCTTTATTGTACAGTCCTAAGTTTATGTCAGCTTGATTTATAGGTTAGCTTTAATCTTTAATTCAATAGAATTTAACAAAAAAATATTTACTAGAAGTTAAAACTTTTATAAATCATGCAACGCATACCGGTATTTACTACTATGTATAGAGTACAGATTAATTTGAATAAATGCATAAATTTAATGGATGGGACTGGGATATGTACAGTGTTCTTTATCATGCAAAAAAATGAAGATGTTATATTAAACCATTCAAAAGTACTTAATCGAATTACCAATGGCAATATCTAACTTGAAAATGGTTGGTGTCAGATTCTACTTAGGTGCCAGATGGTGTCTAAGCAATGCACAGAGGAGATCTGAGGTCTTATTCCAGAAGTAAATTTGGAAAATCTTCATTTGAACTTTACAGTATTTTACAGTATTGTCATAGATCTTGTCTGTTAGGTAAATACCACAAGCATGATTAATAATGACTCTCAGGATGCCAGCAGCTTGACTTGAAGAAATATGATGGTTCTACACAGGATCTACTCAAGGATTTACATAAATACATACTGCACTAATAAGCACTTAGGGTCTTGCCAGAGATTCACCTTTTGAGGGCCGATCCTGAATCAATGAGGAAAATGTCCATTGTGATAGCAAGAGGTTGACATTCTACAATTATCAACAACAAAAAAAAAAATAAAATAAAATACCTCAAGATCTTAATCTGAAGCCTCTGTTCAGTTTCTGTTTGCTAATAATTATAACAAATTTTATACAATATTTTCAGATCACATGGAATGAGCCAAATTTCAAAGCTTCAAAGAATCGATATGATGTATGTCCATCAACCTTAATTGTGAGAAGAATTAGCCAATTTTAAAACAGAAATAAAGCTGAGTCATGGAGTTACTACAAAACGATCCTAAAAGCAGTAACTTTAGCAGCGATACATGTTCTTTTCCTCTTGTTTCTGGCAATAAGACAAGCGTCATCTACGAGGGGTATCTATATGGTGGAATCCCGGAAAATCTCATAATTAATGCTGTTGTATGGGTGGTAAGTTTGAACAATGTAATTATGGTCTGCAATACTATAAAGTGTTGGATGTATCAATTAAGTGCAGAACACAACAGTAACTATTTATTATTTTTAAGTAATTGCCCTTTGTATTTTTCTTTTTTTATTGGACATGATAAAAAAGTAAAAATAGCAGGTGTCCTTTTCCAATAGATAGATCACTAATTTTGTAATTATTATCCTTATAATTTTTAACACATTGTACTTAACTTTTTTTAATGGCACATGACATTAAATAATGTCAAAATGATATTTTAAAGTTATTATAATTATGATCTAATGCTCATTACAACTGAGAGATTTGGTATTATATATATTATAACAATTTGATTTTTGTTAGTTCTTATTATTATGTTACATGACTGTGTTGTGCTCTTCAGTAGTGTAGGAATAAAAGATATGGTGATTGTTTTTAGTGAACCAATGAATACATTTTGCAAAATTAAGATTGACTAAGAATTTTCATATACCATGGCATTTATAAGCAGTTGTACAAAAAGCAGTACATGTCTAAACAATTATTGATACCAATTTAAAAAAACTAAATTTGGACATATGCGCTAAAAATGTGTGGAGAAAAAGATTTGATTGACTGTTTCAGGTTTTGCTGTTTTTGTTTGCGGTATTAAGAAGGGTAGCATGGGACTATGGTAGAATAGCACTGGTTAGTCGACAAGAGGAAAAGTAAGATAATTTGATTTTTCTGTTGTCCTACATCGTTATTGTCATACATATTGTTTTGATGTAATTATCCAGCCTTTGGAGTCATCTGTATTGTATTTATTTATGGTTTATTTGAATTATATGATTTCATTGAGCAAAAAAAAGAAAACTGCAGATTACATAGATATTTCTGAGCTTAAAGGGTATAAAGCTATATCTAACAACATATTCTTATAAAATCTATAAAATGTAAAATTACGTTATTTCCATAATTTTCCTAATGGTTGATTATCAAAAGACGTTTATCATAGAATGTTTCTGTTATTTAACATACATGAACATGAATCTTGTATTAACTCCTAAGGAAATAATTATACAAACATATAATATTAATATAGGAGTGAATAAAATATTTATGTATATTTTTTCTTTCATAAAATTATTTTAGTAACTGTATCATTCTTCAATAAATTTGTTAACTACGGACAGCAGCTATATAGCTTTATACACTTTAAAATGTTTTTGCAGAGTGATTATCTTTTAAAAAAAAAACAACACATAAAAGTTTATAGAATGATTGTGTCTGTTTTAGGTCTTTTATATTGTTTCATATTATGTTTTTTATTTTTAATTTTTTTTTCTAATGAAATTGTTTATGTTTAAATATTGTAACACCATTAAGATATTTTAATATGATGTGTGACATTTTTAAAAAATGTTTTCTGACATAATCATGGCAATTCAAAATACATTGCAACATATTGTTATAGTGTAATATACATACCAAAACTGGGAGTAGAGTAGTGTGGGTGTTATATTATTATTCCATTATGAATATTAATAATATTGACAATATGATACAGGTCATATGAACAGCTTTAAGAATTTTACAATTCAGCATTTATGTTTGGAAAGCAGTGAATAGCAATTACCCCTTGAAAATCTAATTCCTGAAGCTGATACTTTTTTATCAGGTGTGCATCAAAGATTTTTTACCACAGGAGATCACTTGATTTCCACTGGTAATAATACATATTCTAGGGTTAGTTTAAGGATTTTACCTCTTTTTCAAAAGAAACATAAGTCTAATTATTTCAAGATTTTTCACTAGTTTTTACAAGATTTTCACTAAAAATGTACAGTTGGTATCCAATGCTGAGGGGTTTTGGCAAATTAGCCCCCCCCCCCCACTTCCCCACATGGTTATTTAAAATATTATAATTATTTTGCAATTATTTAGCAAGTAACTTTTGCTCTCTTTGAACACCTAACTAAAAAATTGAAAAATACAGATTGTTTTATAAGAATAGCCATGATGTACTGGTAAGGTGCGACCAGGTTTGTCTTTAGCATTTCTTCTTAAACATGGAGTGATATAATTATTTTAGTATTACTTGATACAAATGTTTACCATCATGAGACATAGTGTTACCTCTAAAGGTGAAAGGTCAGAGGAAAAGACTTTTCTTTAAAGCAAAACTTCAGCTTATGTTCACCATTTTTAAGCAGAGCATTTCGTGCAAAATTTCAAGTTTTTATGGCCAAGGTCAATGACACATACATGTTAACCATTTTCAGATAAAGTGATGTGCCCTTTAACTAGGTCAGTAGCACAAAGGTCAAGGTCACATCTGGAATTCTTAAAAAAATAGCAGCATTGCAAAATTCTTGACCCTTGTTATTTCATGACAAGTGTATTTTGTGACAATGATACCCATGTTTAATTAGATACTACAAATGTATAAAAAAAAACACAATTTTATCTTTAAAAGAAAGTCTGTTATCTCTCTATAACAGGAATTGTTCAAAGACAAGTTTTAAATTTTGTCTCCTCTGTCCTTTAAAAAGTGATAATATTTAAACATGAGAGGAAGTTTTTGACAGTTTCAATATGAAGAAAGTAATAGCTTTCTCCTAGAAGAAGTATTAACTATTTTGTCAATTTCAGTGTCCATAGCAACTGTTCTGAAATTTGTCTTTCATTTATTCAGTAACAATTATGTTGCAGTATTTTCTGATAACATATTTTTTGTTCAAAGGAGTTTGAAATTCTATCATAGTAAATTATACCCATATTATTAGATGTGGGAATGGGGTGTTATATTTTTCTAAATTAAGGATACAGATATCAATTTTGAGTGCCTTGTTGTAGAAACATGCACAGTTAATTTCAAATGGGCAGGTATATAATCACCAAGTTTGGTATTCCTCAGTGATTGATAACAATTATACTACCACCCTAGAAAAGTTAATATTCTTTTTCCATTCAAATACGCTAATTAAAAGAGAATTGATAATTAATATGCCGAACAACATAAAGCAGAGAAGTAATTTTCCTGACTTCATTTGGTTTATTGTATCTGTTTCTTTTTTTATGCCATGCATATATTGAGTAATGCACTGGACTGCCCTATCTTTTTAATAGGGGAATAATGTGAAGCGTGTTAGAATTTTATTTTATTGATAGAATATCAAACTGGCCTGTGAGGTTTGTACTTATATGCTGTAATAAATCAGAGAAATGTCATATTAGAATATCTTGATTTATTGTTGTAAATTTTAAGTATCTAGAAGCATGATTTATTGTTTTTCATGATTATAATAATATTGTAAAGTGATTTATTGTTGTTCAGTGTAAAATCGATAAAATTTCAGTTATTAAAGATTATGGTTGTTCCTCACAAAATCTTCTAATTTTATTTCTTTATTATAGGTTACAAATGTGTATTCACTCTGTGTTTGTGTTAATGATTATTTTTGTTGTTTATTGGTCAACCATTTGTGCTTGTTGTTTTTTAACAGTGACGAAATATCCAGGAGAGAATCAGGAGAGAATAAATACAATGTGTAATGTTTATTATTTTCTTGGAAATTCCCATAACCTTCCGCTATGCATGCTTTTCCCCCTGGGCAAGGGTCTTCTATAAAAATAACCGGAGTGAATTTTCTTTGTCAATCATCATACCCTTCATGTATATGTTAGTAAATTCCCTTCTAGAGAATATGTCAAAATTTGAGGCTTTTTAAAATATGGGCAGGAAAATATAGGTCAGATATGAGAGAAATTTGTAACAATAAAATAATATGTCTACTATGAAATCTCCAGGCAATTGAGTGTAAATAGATATGTGAAATATTGTTTGAAGAAATTTGCTATTTATGTAAATGTTTTATGGAATGATCAGAATGTTATTCAGAAATGTCTCTTTAACATTTTTCCTTACTAAATAACCTTTTTTTTCTGCCAAGATCACCTTATGGAAGTAGCCTGCTTTCACTTTTGACATGTCATTATTTTGTAATTTTAAAGAATATCAATATAAGCTTAAAGTTAGGCTGCCAGTACTTTAGAGTGTTGCCATGCTGCATGGGTGGTGGTTGTACTGGCATAGCTTTATACTGACAGCATAGTTGCTAGCATCTGGAGAACTATTTTAACAGCAAAAAATAAAAAAATAATTGTCCTATTGATTGATAACATAATCATAATAAACTTGCACTTAAAGCTATCATGCTTTTACTTGTTATCAGTAGTGAGTACCATTGCATTTAAAGACATGTTTGACTGCATTTAACAAAGTCATATTAGATGTACATGGTACCATAACTGTGTCATAAACTACTGAATTAGTGGATATTTCTGCGTGTCATTTAAAATTCCAGACATTTCGCGTGTAGAATTTAATGACTTGTTGTTTGATATTTACGCTTGAGGAAATTTTAGCAATTTTCGTTAGTTTGCAAAATTCACCAATATTTCCGCGTTGCTAACTTAACCACTTACACAGTATAGTAAGCAAACTGACAATATAATAAATTAATTTTCATTCATGTTAATAATGAATATCTAGACAGTTTTGAACTGGAAATATTTTTACTGGAACATCAATAACATTTTTACCCAATATACAAAAGTGTGTCAGAAAATGTAATTCCTATTTAGCAAGTTGGGGAAACATACTTGTTTTACCATAGGAAACATAATGAATAAACTATTCCCAAATGTACATGCCATTGGTACGGATAATTTTGTCTATTAGAGGGTGAATGATGAATAACTTGAAACATTGATTACAGCCCAGAGAGAAAGAAATTGTAGAAATAAAGATGGTCTTTATCTATTGTCTGCATCTTACATAATTACTCATACAAAACATGAGGACAGTGTACAAATTTTAACCCTTAACCTGCTGAATTTGTAGAATGGACTTGCCTGACTTTGAATTTGGAACAGTCCATTTAAAGTTTAAGGGATTTCAATGTCAAAATACAAATTTGGGCTACCAACAGTATAAAACCTGGTGTGCTTGTGACTCCCTGACCCCCATTGGAACTGTACATGATACAGTTTTATTAATTTTTCATGGAGTGAAAATCTACAAAATATTTATATAGTCAAAGGGTTATAAAGCTTTATCTGATGAAATATTTTTTAATAAAAATTTAGAAATGGTAAAATTATGCAGTTTCCATAATCTTATGGATGATTGTCAGAAGAGTTGTATCATATTAAAATGTCATGCCCTGTTGCTGTTCAGGAAATATACAATGTTCACACATTTTTCTTTCGGAATAACTCTTTTTTTTCAAAATTAAAACAATAATTTTGTGACCAGATATGTAGCTATATACACAGAAAGAGCATAATTCTGTCCTAGTAACCATAAAGTACATAATCTTCAGTTTTTATAAATCGCAAGGATATTTTAATGGGATGAAGGAACATGTGCTGTAACAGGCATATTGCTAGATTTATGACCTGAATGCAAATTAATTTTTTTCTTGAATTCAATTTCCTTGGTAATTTGAGAGGATTTATGGCAGTAAATTATTTTCTGCTGGTAGGAAGTTTCAAGCATGACTATTTCAGGCAAATCAATGCAATTGTATCAGTTTGTATACACATTTAACCATTTGCTATTTTAAGTTACTCTGCTTGCTAATAATGGAGCAAATGTTAGTCAATATTTTTTTATTCTTTTAACATGCTGAGTTTTTGTAATGTATTTGACAAGGTTTTAATTTAGAACAGTCCAGAATACAAAAGTTGAGCCGTCAACAGTATACACAGACATGCAGGCTGGTCTGTCTCCTATAATACTGATGGTAAAGTCTAATTACAGTCATTTAAATAGCGAACTGAATCTGACATCCCCGGCTGATTCCTTCTTTATTTTAAATTAAATCACATCGCTTTATATTACTCGCTTATGACGAATTTTCGGCATTAACGAACCATTTTTTCAAGCCCCAAATGACAGAAAACATGTAAATTTCCTTGGTTATAACAAACTGTTATAATTGAAATGTCCGGATGCGCTCGATTAGGATCAGTACATAAATAACACTATCTGAAAATTATACAATCGACTGATTGCACAGACTAGTTATGGCTTTAGGGAATAAAGATTTTTGATAAAATGTTCTCACAACATAATTTCCTACTTGTTACAGAAAATTTGTTTTTCGCACCCTCAGTTGATTGCTGTAAATACCCGATAATTACCAAATAATCGATTGTTTTTGTTTGCAATATTAACCAAACGATAATAAACAAATAGCAAAAGAATACTTTATAGACAAGTTCTACATGAATAAATACATGTACCATGTACATAATATATTGTTTTAGTAAAATACTGGTTACACCGGTAACCAGTGAAAGTATGGCTTTTTCACGGCAAATTTCCCCATCCAAACAAGTCAGCAAGTTGTTGCTACTTCGCTTTAAGCGAACTTCGGATATAACGAACGATATTTTAATGTCCCATTGAGTTTGTTATAACCGGAGTCGACTCTACTTCCTTTTCTAACAGGGTATGAGATAAAACTGTCACTAGAGTTATAGACTTTAAATCAAATGGGGCAGATCTATAATTTTGTTATTTATCTTTAGTAGTTTTCCTCATTTAATTGGGTTGATCGAGGCCCTTTGAGGCATATTGATTTTGGGAAGAATTATTGCTAAAATTGCTAATTTGGGAAGTGTTCTTCAAGCTGGTGTAAGCTCAGATTTTTGGGGAAACTGCATGATTTAGAAAACTAGATGAGGAAGAGGCCTATAATAAAGAAGAGGTTTTTTATATGCCTCTGTTATATAAGATGAAAATATACTGATCCTGTAGAAAATATGTTGAGGATTTTCATGGCCAGTCAAACCAGTTAAAATAATATTAAATAAACACATACATAACTATTGTTTTGACCAATTCAGGCGTGGAAATGTAATATAAGACAATAATATATGATTGATTTTTACTTGTTGAAAAAGAAAAAAGTTATCTACAATATTTTTTATTTTGTGAATTGAGTCTGACAATAAAATTATTCAATATGAATATTCATGCATTCTTTGAATTCAAGTTCAATGAGACTTTATATATACATGTATAATAATGTAATTGGTCAGCCTTTCAGAAATATATATATAATATAATTATATTACATGTATATGATTATACATTAGATGTTTATTTCTTGATTGAAATACAATTCATTCTATCAGGATTGTCAAGTGAACCAAATATAATTTTTCTCACTCTTTGGCTATTGTTATATAAATAATGAGATACAATTATATATTGTGTGGAGGCAGACAGACTCAGTTCTCCATTGACAATAATAAGAGACCACCCACTCCAAGCAATGAGATATTCTTGTTATATCAGTGAAAGACACAAATTATTCCTCTCCTTGACTTGTATTGGATGGTACTATCTGTCGACTAGATTGTCCTTGATGTATGATAACAGTGTTAGACAGGTCAAGTACATCAATATCTCCAGGAAGGAGAATCTTGTACAGGGACATATCATTGATTATATAATGTAAACTGTTAGTTTAATGCTTAGAGGGTTTGAAATAATATATAATAGTTTGACCATAACAAAAGTTTTGAAACAGGCCACCATGCACACTGGACACAACATTCTTGATTTGCTCGCTGTTATATAAAAGAGTCTCTGAAATTCAAACTATATTATGGTATTTTAAACTTGAAATTTTTAGATTATTGAACTAAACAGTGGATTGTTTTTGCGCTTAAGTAGGCGATCATCACTTTGGATCTTCCTCCACCAATAATGCTAGAAAATTACCATTACCATATGACCATTATTGTGTTGGTACAAACAACCCAATAAAAAACCTGGGTTCAAAATTTAAAGAATACCAAAGAAAAATCCATTTCAGAAAATAAATGTGGAAATGCTCAATTTGGGTTTTCTAGTTCTCATAAATAATGATAGTTTAAAAGGTATTGCTATCATATTTTCCTCTAGAGGCAATGCAGACGCTGGAAGAATACTTTTATGGCATAAGTCAAACCCAACATAATATTATCTGTAGTAAAATATGCCAAATCAATAGCTGAGGTGATAAGCATTCTTTATGAAGTGCACGGTTTGCATTGGATAATTATGTATACATCTATTACACTGTAATAACTAAATTATTATTTACAACATTAATGAATATAAATAAATATATTCCAAAAACAGGACCTACAAACCAATATATTGGAAGGGTTGGGTTCTGCTCTGTTATTTGAATGGAGCATATTTTATCTTTAATAAGGGATTCTAGTAACTGGCCCTACAAAGTAGGCAGGGAGGAAGAGAAAAGTGTGCCATGTTTTATTGTTTAAAGGGTTAAAAAAATGGTTTCCTAGTGATTTAATGATAGTTTGTGTGACAAGATTTCCTCTGGCCTACAATGACAGCATCTGACCTGTAGATGATAAATGTGCCCTCACTTGTAATTATTATGCTAAATCTCAGGAGATAATGATTCTGGTCAGGCAAGGAAAAGTAGATGCAAAATCTCTCTCTGGACATTGTTCCTCAGTGGGTAACATCAAATTGTCATTTGTACTAATATATATTACATTTGTTTCACACATCAAATAAAAATGTTCCAATTTTTTCTTCTTAAACATTAGTCAAAGCTTGTAACTGCTTTAAATGTATCAATTTTAGACCCAGATAAGTTTCAATTACCTATTAGTACCCTAGCTTATAAAATTGAAGAGCTATTTTAAATATATTTATGATACATTTGTAACAAATTTTTAAACTAGTGAAAAATGACTTTTGGGTGTATAGAATGACAAAAGTAAGTTTGCACCTGAGACTGTTGCATTCATTAAATTTTATTGAATCCGGTTGGGTACCACTTGTAATGTTTGGTTCCAAGTATTGGCCAAGATACCTAAGTGCTAGCCTATGTCTTAGTTTATGTTACTCTTGTACATGAGAATCAGAAAGACTGTTATTGCATGTGCTTTAATTATCAAAGCTTATTTTCACACATAAGTTGCTTAATTTTCACATCACTATTTTCTCCTATATAACCATGCATATTGTAGTTTGTAGGAATAGAAACGGCTTGGTGCAAGAGGGCTCTATCTCATGTAGCAAATTGTAATCATAAGACCTTTTTCCATCAAGGCATTGTGATTTTATCTGAAAAAATTGAATCTTTGTAATGTTTATGAGAAAATTATATAATTAAGTACATTTTATTAATCTGTACTATAGAACTATGTATGGGTAAGTATTGATATGTTACAGGTTCTTAATTGTTGCTTTTATGGTCTTTATTAAGGTTACTGATATTCTTTTATTCTGTGTTTGTTTAATTAATTATTTAATGTTACTAGCATTCAGACAAAAAATTTTCTTAGATATGGGATATTGAAATGATTAGTTTGATTTGTTATTGAATTTATTCAATGATTTAAAGAAGAAAAAAAAAAGAAGCAAAAATCAGTGCCTCTGAAGTAAGCTTCATACCGTTTTATTCATTGTCTACAATAAATTAAAAACAGAGTATACACAAATTTGATATTCTGTTTTTCACACACCATAAATATAATTCTTGGGTGGCAATTGTCAAAAGTAACCTATGCAGAATTAGTCTCATTTGCACATATTTTTAAGGGCTTGGATAAAGTGGGTTTAGCTTAATCTTTAGATTTGATTATTAAGATTTGTTTTAAAGAACATTAAATTTTAAGCTTTTAATTTGTTGTGATAAATAGCATTATGTTTAAGGTGTCTTTCTCCCTCGTAAATGATCTTGGATGTATCTGATATTAACTTCCATTTATACATTGTATTCAAGTACTAGTATATTCCATTGTTATTAACATTCTTATTCTTCAGTTAACAAATATCTCAACTACCTTATATTATAAGATCTTTAGATAATTTTGATATTAACAACTTCTTAGATTGTTTTTGTTAAAGCAATATTAAACATTAAAATATTAAATTTAACATTACATATTAAGCAGAAGTTTAGAAAGACTGAATATATCATTCATATATTCTTGTAAAGTGAAATCATTGTTCTTTGAGTAGTATTCATCAAGTTTGTATGATATCGTAATGATGTGACTGAAAAAATTAATGAAAGCCAATGGCAGTTTTTATTTTGTAATTAGCAAAGTTCGAGTCTTTTTGTTTAATCTCATGTTCATGTCTGGTTACTATTTCAGATGGACTTCTTTGTTTTATGGTGAACATGAAGGAAACCGTCATTATGGTTCTATGGAATCCCTTGACTCACAGCTTCATGCTCAAGACAGGGTAGGAATTTCTTTAGTTGGGGTTTTGAGCGACACTGACATTGTGATAGTCATATTGTGACTTTTCAGCTGTACTGGTGGAGGAAGGTCTCATCATGCATCTCTGTGCATTATTTCAGGCACAAGCAGTGAGATTTGAACCCACGCCAACCAAAACCCCTCAACCTTAGAGATCCTAAGGGTTTTTATGGTATTTAATCAAAGGTGCTTCAAGTCATTGTCAACAGTTATTACGGTCACGTTAAATAACAGGGCTAATGATGATAATGTCACATTGTCTCCACATTATAAATTTTTTGTTAAATTTAAAAATGTTTAAGTGTCCATTAATATCTGAGTATGCATAGTGGTATGCTAAAAAAAAACACTTAAAAGCTGCCATATGACCCTTTTAATGATGGTGTGAGCAAATATTGTTAGTTTTTCAGGTACATATGTAAATGAGTTACCTATAAATAGGTTGATTTCAGTGGAATTTATACTTGCATGCATGCATGGCATTTTCATCTAATGAACAATAAAAATTAATTTTGCTTGATACCTGAAAAGCTTGTGTTTATGATGTAACATGGATTTTAGCATTTTTGCTGAATCAACAATATTTTGTGCCATGTAAGATCAATGATTTATTCATTTCATAGAACTCCTAATGATCTGTATGACTTGATTCCAGTGTACATTAATGGCAATATGATACAATGCTGGTGAGGTGTAATGATAAAAGATGAGATTTCTGATTTTAGATTATGACTTTTGTTATTAGGGCTATATATTATACATGTATTGTAGCAGAAATATCCACTGAGGTCATATTAACATAAAAGCTTTATTGATTAGATCTATATATTATGTTGCAGAAAGGATAAGTTTTCCTCTATTATTTCAATTTTACAAAAGCGCATTTATACCTTTAAATAATTAATTAATTTTGTCTTTGAAATTTGTTTGCATAAGTTGTTAATGAAAATGCCTATTTATACAGAATTTAGGATTTCTTTTCTATTTGCAATGATTAAAATTTAATGCTGAAGGTTGAAGGTCATTGGAAAAACAAGCTATGAGAACTTTCCTTATTAATAAATGAACTTTAAAGTACATATATAATGATTTGTTTTAAACGTTTTTAAGATTGAATAACTTGGAAACTTGATAAATTTGAATATCATAACTGAACATTAGAATATCAGAACTGAACATTAGCAGCAATATTGATCTACATATTTATACCACCAGACCAGCTTACCAGTCTTTTAACTGATTGATTGAAATATTTTGTTCAAAATGCAGTGTAAGGCTTTTCCATTATACAAATTCATCTCAAATATTTCTTGACTTTTTCCCTAAGAAATAAATTATGTCAATTCTAGTCATTGCAGTATACATTATCTAGTAACAATGTGTCCACAGAAGCACCTCATTACCAGCTCATTGCCTTTTAAACCTATAAGAGCTGTCAGCAATAATGAAAGGCCCTTGCCAACAATATACAACAAGGTCAGTTAACCAACCTCTATTATAGTTCTATTATAATGGTTTCTCAGTAGATTGAATATTACATCCCTTATAAAGAAATGCAAGGTTCTGAAATTACTATAATAAGTTGCATTGCACAAAATATATAGGGGAAAAAAATAACCCTACCATGTTGAATTTGTTACCAAATGAATGTAATGAAATTTTCAGGAATCATGCATTTCTTATGTAAATGATTTATATGATGGAATTTCAGGTATCAAAATGCTTAAACTAAGTCTAGTAAGACAACATGTATGTGAGAATGTGATGGATGGAAACACAAGATAGTGGCAAAACAATTTTTACTACCAGTATTCCAGATATATATTGATTTTATATCTTTTTCAGGGATTCTGTTCTTGGATCACTGCATTCATCAGAGTAAAGTAAGTTTTCTACTTAGTGTAATAACCTATAACTGTCACTAAATAAGTAAAAATATATGTCCAAATACAGTTAAACCTGTTCTCAAGATTACCACTTAAAACCATCTACCTCAAAGATTTATGTAAAGTTATAAACTGTTGTTAAAGACTTAGAGATTAATACATGGCAGAGTAGGGACGGAAGGAAATAATCGGCCTGCAAAATGAATGGCCCAGAGGGCTTCAGCGCAACGGCATTATTCATTTCAGGACCAATTATCAATATCTGGCCGATCTATGTCATGTTTTAATCTCTTTAACAATAACTTGATAGATCTAATAGTAACATGAGTATTAATAGGATTTAATTTTTTCTCTTTGATTGTATCATATGTAACACTATTTTTATTGTGTTAAACCACACCTTAAGTTAAGGCCATCCTTTATGTATTTCTAAGAAATGATATTGTCAGACAGTTTAGACTACATGTTTGTCTGGAAAGTATGGCCAAGCTTAAGAAAATGGTTTTTGGACATGAAATAAATACATGTGATAAGATATATTGATACATCTGATGTTGGTGAACATATGTGAAAACATATATGTCTTCATCTCAACAATTATAACGTCTGGAAACTGTCCTGATGTTTTATTATTTCTGACATTGCTGGGAAGAATTGTGTCAGTTTAATGTATCCCCCCAGGATTTTCTTTTTTTTATGGATTCTATCTGTCCATATATTATGTAACTATATATAACATAGTGTTTGTTTGAATTAAAAACAAAAAGTGCCATTATTAGTCACCTTTAGACAGAATTGTATACTTAGTAATGCTCTTATATTGATATACGTAAATAGTAGATGTATTATTTCTTTGACATGACTTTCTATGCTGCCCATGAATGGCCATTATCTATGATAAATGTTTGATCTGACAAGGGGAGTTTTTAGAATGACTAATGACTAGAATGGTTTCCCCAGTGCTCTATTCATCCTTTTAAGTTTCACAATTCTTCCTCGTAACAAGCCTTCATTATCAAATAGAACTAAAAATAACAGGATTTCAGTTTATTTATGCTGAATTGTATAATATCAAAAATTCAAAATATTGAGAATTTTTTATAAACATATCTGGTAATCCCAATTGTTCTTGGTAAATTTACTTGAATTTTAATGTTAACTATGTGTTTTTTGTCCTGCATCATTAAAACATGTAAATGTCAGTGATGCTTACAGTTATTCATAGTAATGTTTTGGTTTTTGTAAACCTGTGCCTTTCTATGGAGGAAAATAGAGCATGATAAATCGGCAAAAAAAGAAAACGTGAATCAGAATCCAACAACCAAGAATGCAACATAGCCGCACATTTAATCAGATTTTCAACTTAATTGCAATTTAACATGCAATGTAAAATGTACTTAGCAGAGGCTATTCATGGTGACAGTTTTATGTCTTCTAGTTTACTAAATTTATCAGTTTTGATCTCAATCAGCTGCTGTTAACTTACTGTTTTGGTGACAAATGTACACAATGGCATTTAACAGGAAAATATATCATTTTAGTGAAAAATGCAGTTTAGAAATAGCCTGTAAAATACAGGAAAAACACTCTGGTGCAGCTGCCATTTTCACTATTTCTGTCAGTTTGTCTACCATTAACAATATCTTATAGAAATGAATATGATTTTCAAACCTGTTTTTATGATGTTTTGATAATGAGTTTAAATTGAGCATATAAGATGCTTATCACATGGAGTAAGTCTCATTTTCCTTCCCCAATTAATACATATTTCCTGCCTATTGTTTAATAATTTCAAAAAATAAAAAAATAAAATTATTTTACAACTGAAGGGTTAAAGTCTTTATTTCATTTGTGCTTCCTATCCACTGATTGTGAAATAGATTGTCATAAAAGTAGCCAAACATAAACAAGGTGCTATTTTGTCTTCCATACCAAATACATGATCATTTTATAAGTTTGTACATGGCTAAAAAGCAGGAGATAATAAATATTGCCAATGAGGATTGTCTTAAAAAGTGTAATAATAGGTACACAAAAAAGAAACAACATGGTTTTGGGAATTAAAAAGTACATGTACAAATGTACTTAGAAGTAGCTTTATTGGGACTTAAATTGGCCTTTAAATTTTCATTTGTATATTTTGTTTTTCAGGGACTCAGACATTGTAAAGAAATGCGGCATGGATGCACTACAGTACATCACATTTCAGCGCTATATATTACTGTATGTGCTTGTTGTCTGTGTGCTTTCAACTGCCATTATAATACCTGTCAACTTTACTGGCAGTAACAGTAAGTAATACCTGAATCACATAAACATTTAAATACATGTCCGAAGTTCAAATCTCAACAGGTATTGAAGATTATTTCGTGTGTGAAATTATTCCGGCTAGCTTATTAAAGATCAATGGTTCTACCCAGATGCCAAGAAAAGCAGCTTGAAAGTATTAATATTACATATTACATATTTTCTGTGACTTGGGATAGGTGTTATTTTTACCTACATGTTCATGATATACAATGTATCTACAATTTCTACAAGTTTTTGAATATATACTGTTGGCTGCACATGAATAATATTTTTGAATTTGAAATCCCTGGACTTTGCACTTCACTGTTATAAATTCTAAGGACTATTAATGTGCCATAGACAGCTATATTGTGATCTTAACTGGCAATTAAATGCCATCTTCCCTTTCCATTAATCCTTTTAACTTGACTTTAACAAATATATATTTATCATGTGCTGTAAACATATACATTGACATATGTTATCCTAGTATATAAATTCTCTGTATGCTGCCATCTTTAATTCATCATTCAACTATTCTCATTTAATCGTAAAGTTTTTCTTGTAAAATCCATCAGTCAGATATTAGTTTTAATATTATGCTTTTTGTTTCCTGTGAAAATTCTTGTAGGTTTCATTATTAACAATCTTGCATTTATTCTTTTATACTCTATTTCAGTTGGAAATGCTACTGATTTTGGGCACACTACAATAGCTAATCTTGATGCAGAGTAAGTTTTCACAATCCATTACTCATCTTAAATGGTAATTGTTGTTGTTCAGAATTCAGGAAATACTGACTAGACTAGGCTAGACAATCACATGTCTTTGTCAGCTTATGTGACAGTACATTATTCTACAGATTGAACAATACTATATTGGTTTTATGATGTAGGAAGCGGCTTAATTCTCCATTTATTTACCAAAATAATGTGAGTGGTTTTATCTCACATATGTGTTAAAAGCATAGTTAAGTAGATGGAATAAGATTTAATTTACTTTAATAGTCTGCAATACTAAGAGGATTGAATAGGGAAAATGACAGCAAAGCATGGAAGAAATTTCTCTATTACATAAACTGACTGAAAATTAATATTTTCTTATTGAAAATTAATATTTTCTTAGCACTTACTGTAAGTGGTGCTCGACCTATCATATTCCTCAGTTAAATGGCAGACACTTCAGATATAACACCTCTGAATTAACTGAAATAAAATCGTTATTTTAGTTATTTTTATACGATTTCTCAGTTTTAATGTTGTATGCTTACTATCTTAAATTGCTTCTTTCAGGTAGTCACGATGTTTCCTTTTATTAGTCTATGTATAGCAATGGTTTCTCAGTTTTATCACTTAAACGTGTTGTTCTTTTGATTTATGTATTTATATATATATATATATTTATATTCTATTATTGTGATATAGATTTTTCATCTCTTATAACTCCATGCTGGAGTGGCATTGTACTTTTATGCTGTAACTTTTTAACTTAAGTGTATGTCTGTACAGTGATGAGATGTAACTTCACCTCTGTAATCCTAAATAAGCCAGTTTTATACTATATATTAAAATACTAGTCTAAATATAGTAATGAATGATGATATATATTTACAGTTCAAACTTGCTGTGGATTCATGCCATTCTAGCTGTTGTGTTCCTGGCATTAGTTGTCATATTTATGAGACATTTCTCAGTCAATCTCACCTTTGATGATGATGAACAGGTATTTACCTTGTTGTTTTCTCAATATGATATTTTTTATAAGATACTATATATAAATTAATAAATATATATGATGCAAGTAATATGGCCAATGTACATGAATTGTGAAATTGCCGCTGTTCTTAATACTTGTAAAATTCACTTGCCAATGAATTATTGCTAATTTATTTCTTTGTTTATGGTTTATGAACATAAATAGAAGGCATAGGCAGGCTGTCAAAATAGTACATGTATTATTTTTGTTGATAAACTAATGTTTTCGTATAAGAAATGTTTTTGACTAAGATATATTAGAAAACGGTGATTTTTTTTTTAATTCACAAAGATATATACAATCAAAATTACATGTGTCAAAGAAAATAGGAATATATTGACTTTTAATCTGTATTTAGGAAGAATATTCATGTATAATTACAGGTAACCAAGACCCTGATGATAGCAAACATTCCCAAAGATAAATGTTATCGTAATGGGATAATGCAACATTTTCAGTAAGTTTGAAAAATTTGTTTTTTGCTAATTTACCTTTCTAAAAATTGAGGTATATACTGCTGCGTCCGTCTGTCCATCTGTCTGTCTGTGAGTAGTCATATTTAGAAGCCATACTAGAAATTTTTGGATAAATCTTTATGTTTATACAAATATGAATACATTTGTGGAATTAATGCCTAGACTGTTCCTGTTGTCAGCAACAGACTTAGGCCCTTTGTAATTGTGATCATTACTTTTGCACAAGAGCAAGGTTTCTCCGAAGCCTGATGGCAAAATTATTTCAAATTTTCACATGTTTTAATCACCAATCTAAACTTGAATTGTGTAAAAACCTTGAATGTTGTGAAATTTAAAAAAGAAATCAATGTATTTGGTATGTTAAAATCTTCATATGTAACAGGTTACGACATGTGTAATACTTAAGACAGCTTTTAGTTTAAACATATTTTATTGCATCAAATACATGTTAAATATTATCAAATGATGAGTATATAACATATAGCAAATGGGTTGGACAACAAGTCTAGGTAGATCAGAAAGAAAACTGATTTTAGATTCCCATAATATTGTTTTATACTTTTATGAATATGTTGACTAGTTTTCTATAACATGAATGCTATCTATAGTTGAAGCTTATTCAAATGTCAACTGTGAAACAAATCAGCCTCTAGTACTTTTACAGATGTCTCGGTTATTTTTATACCAGTATCAAATTCATAGGAGAAATCAGACTCCTGGAGAAGCTTGTTATTATAGGAAATAAAGTTGTCTTAAGTTGAAGAAACTGCGTCTGACAGATGCATTTATTCAGACATATTAATGTTCAGTTTAAATTTTCTAATCTTGTAAATTGATGCACTGGTAATGCACACAAGTTAACTTGAAGTACAGGAAAGAAAATAGATTTCTGTTAGATGGCAATATTATGCTTTAGTGTAGAGTTAATTTAGGTATTGGAGAAATACTTTAATAAAATAGCATTTGATGCACTTTATTGGATTTACTTGCAGAAATGTTTTCTCAAAATAAATGTTTCACTTTTATTACTTTAGGCTGCATTTCAAATTAAGTAAAGCTGTTAGAAAATTAAACTGATAATACTTTGAAATGGCTTTTTTGTTTTTCAAATTGAATGATACAGTAATTTATGGGCAAAAGACATTTAAGTAGAGACTTTCAATTACAATTGAGACTTAATTTAACAAACAATTTTATTTGATGTTTATTTCAATGTTCTCAAAGACTAATCAAGTCCTATAAAAAACCTATGTCACAGGGAGTGAATAATGTGCTGCCAGACTGGGAGTCGAATCCATGACTCACATAACAAGACAGGATTTTTTATGTTGATTTGAATTATTTGAATGCAATAAGTAGTAATATGAATTCCCTATGTCACAAGTAAAGTAATGAAAATTATAACCTCCCAAAAATGCAATAACTGGATATGTGCATTATAAACATTTAGCATGATAAGGGTTAATATGTCCTAACCCCAAGAAATATATGTTGATAAATCAGTCTGACTTGAAGAATCAGACTGGTTTTGGTTACTGAATACTTAAATACATCACAGCAATATCATTCTTAGACTGGTTTATAAATTCTGAACATGCTGGAATCAAAAATTATTACTTTGCTTTAAGTAAAGAGTTCAACTGCCCAGGGGTGTGACACAGATCTGTTCTGTTGTAAGTCAATTGTTGTATTTTAATATTAAAAAAACCCTTATCCTTTGAATGGACTGTCCTTCATTTCAAAGTAGGGCAGGTCCATAAGATACAAATAAAGCAAGTTAAGGGTTAACTGTAAACTGAGACATTTTACATTATATAAAACATATATTATATAATGTGTATTTCAGAGAAGGATACCCAGAGGTACATGTACAAGATGTACAATTCGCATATGATGTAGAAAAACTAATGGATCTTGATAATAAAAGGTAAATCCTACAGTCTCTTTGTAAGTTTTTTTTTGTTGAATTTTGTTACATTTAGTTTTTAGCTCGACTATTCGCAGAATAATCGAGCTAATGCAGTCACCCATTTGTCGGCGTCCCTGTGGTTAAGTTTTTGCGTTTAAGCTGGTATCTCTATAACTACTGAAGGGAATGGATTGAAACTTCACACACTTGTTATCTATGATTGTCTTATGTGATTGGCACAAGTCCCATAACTCTGATTTGCTTTTTTGCATAATTATGCCCCTTTTTTCGACTTAGAAATTCTTGGTTAAGTTTTTGCTTGTAAGCTTGTATCTCCATAACTACTGAAGGAAATGGATTGAAACTTGACACACTTGTTCTCTGTGATTATCTAAGATGATTGGCACAAGTCCCATAACTCTGATTTGCTTTTTTGCATAATTATGCCCCTTTTTCGACTTAGAAATCCTTGGTTAATTTTTTGCTTGTAAGCTGGTATCTCCATAACTACTGAAGGGAATGAATTGAAACTTCACGCACTTGTTCTCTGTGATTATCTAACATGATTGGCACAAGTCCCATAAGTCTTGATTTGTTTTTTTTCCATAATTATGCCCCTTTTTCGGCTTAGAAATTCTTGGAAAAGTTTTTGCTTGTAAGCTGGTAAGGGTTTGTGCCTTTTTTGGGACAATTTTATGCATTCATAACAATAAAGCAGTGATTTACTCGATAAAACGTCTTAATAACAAGCCTTTGTACCTTTTGGGACAATTTTATGTATTCATATAGGTAAGCATTATTATACTCAATGAAACACCCTTGTGACAACTTTTCGAATAGTCGAGCGTTACTGTCCTCCGACAGTTCTTGTTACAGATTTGATTTCATGATTTTCCATTTTGCATACAATGTCATGTTACAAGATTGTTTAAGTCAAAATGTGGAGATCAGTAAGGTCAAATTTCTGCCTTTATCAATGAACATATCTTATAAGAAATCGAAGAGTACCTTGTATCTGTAAGGCATAGGAGTGTAAATGTCTAAGTTAATTGATTTTATCAAATCTTTAATGTCTTTTGAATTGATATTTCAAAGTTGTCTTTATATTGGCATCTTTCCTATCTTCAGTAATGTCCTAAAAAAAATTCAAATTTCTTTTTGAATACAAAGTGCTTTAGGAATAACAAATTGTTTCAAATATTGTATTTATAGACTTTTTGTAACAACTAAATGGCAATATTCATATGTTTCTTATGTTTTTATTCAGGGCTGCTGCAAAAGAGGCACGCATGAACTCTGAAATAGAGTTACAGAAAACTGGACATCGTCCAACAGTTAAACCGTACACTTGTGGTCAGTGTATTTTCTGTGCAGAGTCCTGTGGTTGTGTTGAAGTAAGTGCCAGATTTATACTTTAGTTTAAAAGGGACTCCACTTAGGATTTTTGACATGAAGAGACTGGAAATACTTTTTATAGATTTGTGGACCATTTGATTTAGGTCTTGTCCAAGATTTCAAAACATTAACTGACTGAGTTTATAAAGTTATAAATGCCATTTGACCTATGTAAAAATTTCAAATTTTATGTTTGAATGGTTTTCGACCTCAGTGGATTTGTTCTTTGGTTTTTGAGATATTAACAAAGGTATTGAAGTGAGTTTTTTCTTTCTTTAGACAGGTATTGTAAAAGGATATGTTCTCAATTGCTAGAAATTCCTACTTATTTCCCAAATATTATTGTTAAATGATAAGAATCAGTTATTTTTTACTGGTCAAGGCTTACATATAAATAAAAATAGGACAGTCCATTTGCTGGACCAATGAACTGTCTCCAAAAGGATGAAGAAAAAAGAATGCTGTTCCATATAACACATTTAAAAACTTCATTTAGCTCAATGTCATAACTGAAGCTGATAGAATAGTCTCATAATTTAGATGAGGATTTAAAAACATTAGATTGGTGATTAAGTTAAGGTTCTTAAAAAAGTGTTTAAAATGGTGTTTTTATTGAGTTTGAACAAACAGTTCACTTACATCAGTAGAATTTGACGAAAGGTTTGTGGTATTTATCAATAATGAATATATATATTTTGATCAGTTGGATGCTATAACATACTACGGAGATGAAGAGACAAGATTAGTGGAGGAATGTGAGAAAGAGAAAGTGAACGCCTACAAGAGTTCCCTCGGTGTCGCTTTTGTTACCTTTGAAAATGTCACCATGGCTGAAAGGTGAAACTTTATTTTTCCAATCAATCTTTAATAGATCTGTTAGCTGTAACTTTAATCTTTATTGAGTTTTGTCTTTATTTAGTATTTATTTTATTTTTTTGCTCTAAATTTGTACTTTTAAGTTTAAAGCAGTAGTATGAAAAAAGATGCCATTTTGCATTTGGAAAGTTACCTTTGATATTACAGAAATAATAAATCCACTTTTTCACTTGATTTATGTGAGTTAAATATATAAAATTTCAGCTTCAAATTAATAGTTCTCTTATTGACTTTTATTAATATACATGTAACTACAAGAATAATACAATAACAGATAAAAGAAAAATAGTAAAAAAGTAACGTTTGTTGCAGTAAGTGTTTCTGATATGTAATGCTAGTTAAAATTATCATTTTAATCATTATATTATTTAAGAGGAATGTAGAATGAATGATAATATAGAAAGAGTTATCATCTAATTTGCAATATTGCTTTATATGCTGAATTTTATTGTGACTTTTTAAGTGACTCATTTTGACTGCTACATGTATGTAGTGAATTTGTCCTATTCTAAATTTGAAACAGTTCAGTAGTAGAATAACCTTTAGCCTGCTGGCAGCATCTGAATCGACCCTTGCAACCATTGCACACCACATATATCTTTAATGAAAAAATTATCCATCTGTCAGTCAGTAAAAACCTTTCATTATTTTTAGTGAAAATTTTAAAACTATGTTCTTACTGAATAGGGAACAGTGCCAACCATGATCAGATGACATGAATGTGCAAGCTGATCTTGGTCTGCACTGGTTGCATAGGTAGAATCTGTTACTGCCAGCAGGCTAAAAGTTAATACCGGTACATTTGTAGACATTTTAGATAATTATTCAATTTTGTTACAGTGTTAGGAAGGATTTCATACCCACATGCTGCCACATTTTCAAAACTAAACAGTTCTACAGGCATAATTCTTCAGTTTTCTTCTGCTAAATAAAGAGCTAGAGCTTCAGCTTTTGTCCTCTGTCTTCCTTGTTCTAACTTTTTGCTTTGACCTTTGCACTCCCAAGAAATACAAATGCTGGTGATAGTATACAGGGATATAACCCAGTCTTCCATTTTGTCAATCTCACCTTTCCCATAAACATGTGTTTTTCAATTAGAAATCATATAAATCAATACTTAGCAGTTTGAGTGAAAGTCAATATACCAGGAATTCCTTATTTTAATGGTCTAAATTATTTATTTATACAAAATTTGTAACATTCATGTACATGTACACTGAAATTAATTGAAAATTGCCAAAAATAGCACATGTGACTCATAATATATATAATGTAAAAAGCAAATGTGCAGTACAGCTGTCTGCATTACAGTATAAAATCAAAACTGTTTGTATCACATACTCTAAAAACAGGCACAATAAAGAAATTAGGAACCTGCAGATTTTATTCCAAAGCACAATTATCGCAATTCAGAAAAAGGAAAATTTCACAAGAGTAATGAAAACAAAATGAATTGGTGGTAATCGTAGACTTGGTTTGATTGTATCTGTGAAGACTGTCAATACATAATAATTTCATGATATATTTAGTCGAAAATAAGGAAAATAAGACCTATACACAGAATGATCACATTGTTATCATGGTCATATGAATTCATGTCAAGAAATGTTCAGTTATGTAAAAAAGATACTAAACACTATTTATAAATTTATAGTACATGTATCTATTTATCCTTTATAGATATTACATCTAGCACATTCACATATGTCCTTGACAGTACTCAATATAAGAAATAATTATGATTATTTATGCCATTTTTGAATATGTACATCATGTAACTTTATGTATTATATATCTCCAAGAAAGAACATTTTCATAAAAGGAAACAATGATATTTTAAGTTCTCAACTTACTCTGATAGTATGAGATGGCATATACAATATATGTTCAGTCTTTATGAATGATAAAACCGCCTGTTTCCTTTGTGCTTTATATTGTCCTTTTTATATGTCTATGTATATATTATATATGATTGCTAATGAATAAAATATAACATGAAAATATCAGATGACTTTTATTCTTCCAAGATCTACACATACCTTACATGAATATAATAACTGTCTTAAAAGATCAATCTTCTATTAAGTTTCTTTTAATTAAATTGGCGCAGTATCAGTGAAATGTTTTTAAATAATAATAATAAAATAACTCAGATAACTTCAATAGATCAATGATAATCTGCTGTTAAGATTACAGTATTCAACTTTACATATAAAATATAGCATCAGTTATGCAGAGTTAATTGAGTTATGCACACATACTTTTGTTTGTGTTAAGAATGTAATGTAAAATTAAATGAAAAATATAAAACTTTTGTAAAACTTACATATATATTGCTGCATATATTATAGTTTATATATTTTAGTTATATATAATTATTTAATAGTTTTTGGTCTTGTCGTAACATGAAGATCATACTTATACTTTGATATATTATTTCAGGATAATGAATGACTTCCAGCCATCTTGTAAGGCTTCCCAGAATCCTCAGCCATCATCTATACATGTTGACCTAAATGTCGTAGAGTGGGAGGTCTCTTACGCTCCATCTCCTGAAAATATTTATTGGTATGTATTGTATCAAGTTAATATTATTTTGTGTAATTCAAATAACATGTGATAATGAAATATGATTTTTTGATTGATCCATCAAACAATCAATCAATCAATCAATTTCCTTATAATAACTCATTCTTGATGCAATGCAATAGCCATCAGGAAAAAGGATATTTTCAATATTTTCAACTTCAAGTAGATGAAAGTAGATGAAAGTATTCCGCATCTATAGAAGTTTTAATCAGCATACATATTTCATATATTCTTTCATATATATATATATAGTTATTTTTTAAAGAACCAATTATTTTTCTGCTCATCGCCGTAATTCCAGTGTCTGTAAAACTGTTGTCTTCCGACGTTTGCTTTTACTCTCAAATTGAAATTATTCCCCCCCCCCCCCCCCCACAAGAATTTTTTCCGTAGAACATTTTCTATTAATGATTCTGAAGCGGAAGTCAAGAGATACTCCTCAACTACTCTTGGATGATTCTCAAGATATACTTTTACTTCATTTTCTGTAATCTTTGTGCATATTTTACTCAACCCAGGGCATGCCATTTTTTAGCACAAAATCAATTCACAATTTGAGAAAAGATATAAAAAATGTTACATTATTAGATATTGTTTAAGTTTTGATTTCATATTAAATTCATTTTTACAACGTTGTTAGAAATTGTAAACATTATGAGCTGTTACAGCCTGTTGACATATCTATATTACAGATATTGTATTTGACTTTATTGGAGTATGTACATATATTTGTATCTAACTTGTAGGTCAAAGTTATCCCTGAATGGTTGGAAATGGTGGTTAAAGGCAATTATAATCAATTTTGTAGTGGTAATCTTGCTGTTTTTCCTGACCACACCTTCCATTATCCTGACTAACTTGGATAAACTTAGTTATAAAGAATATATCAATAAAACTCACGTAAGTACAACAGTCCTTGTTAATTATTTATTAAACCATTATCTCCAGACAAATTTCAAGAGATATTAGATTATAATTTGTTATTTTTCAGCTATTTCTAATACTGTTTTAATTCTGTTTGTTTGAAGGTGTACTATATTGTTAGAGCTACTTATTGCAGTAGAGAGAGCAGATTTGTAATCTAGGAATTGCTGGTCTGTCCCTCGGGTTAGGCGAAATTCTTCTGTAACAATTGATCACAGACATTGTGTCTAATGGTTATTTGTCTCTTAATGCTGATTCAGAAATCATGTAGCCACTCACTTTGCAGAGAAATTGGTCATTACTGGTAATTTTTCCATGAGAGCCAGTTAGGGGGCTGGTTGAAATATGACCAAAATCCTCATAAAAAAAATAAGAATCCAATTATTGTATGAGAGTTGCAAAAACATGCTTTGATAGTGTCACAATGAACATAAAGTGTAAGTCACATTGTATATATATTTTGTTTCTTCTTGTGTTACAGAGTGCATTACTTGTACAATTTCTACCCACCTTATTACTATGGACTTTCACAGCCCTCCTACCAAACATTGTATACTGGTCAGACCAGTATGTTGGTCACTGGACAAGGTAACTGTTTCACTGTATTATAATTGACCACATCAGCTGTGTTTTAACCTATGTTATCAGATTCTTTAATATTTACTCCTATGCTTTATTTAACATTGAAATAATATCTAAAAAGAAGCTTCTAGTCAGAACATAGCCTTATACTTGTGGCATAGACCTGTATGCATGCTTATGTTAATTGTAAACTTATTCATATTTCAGGAGTTCAGAGCATCATGCTATTATGTTGAAGACATTTATATTTTTGTTACTGATGGTTCTCATCCTGCCATCCCTTGGTTTAACCAGGTTTGTTCCATATCTTATCTTTATTAAAAAAGTAAATACTACAGAGTTCCTTAAGTATACTAGGGACAGACCAGCCAGCCAACATCATTTACTAATAGATGTATCAATATTACTAGTGTTAGTGTGTGATATTCTTACAAAATCTGCAAATAAAACTTAATTGAGGAAAATATGACAAATCTAGTGTATTCAATATAGAAATATTACCTAATTGTTACTATAATGGGTATAAACATGTATATGTATTCTAACAGTAATTAGTTAATTATTACTCAATGTAAGGTCATGTAAATGGACAACTTATTATATGTTTGTATGTGTAGTGATTTTTATACTTATTATGCCCCCATTTCGAAGAAAAGGGGGTATATTGCTTTGCACTTGTCGGTCCGTTGGTCCGTCCGTCCGTAGACCAAATGGTTTCCGAGTGATAACTAAAGAACCCTTAGGCCTAGGAACTTCAAACTTGGTATGGTGATTGGTCATGACCAGTAGATGACCCCTATTGATTTTGGGGTCAAGGGGTCAAAGGTCAAGGTCACATTGACCTTGTAAGCAAAAACGGTTTCCGATCAATAACTAAAGAACCTTAAGGCCTAGGAACTTCAAACTTGATATGGTGATTGGTCATGATCAGTAGATGATCCCTATTGATTTTGGGGTCAAGGGGTCAAAGGTCAAGGTCACATTGACCTTGTAAGCAAAAACGGTTTCCGATCAATAACTAAAGAACTTTAAGGCTTAGGAACTTCAAACTTGGTATGGTGATTGGTCATGATCAGTAGATGACCCCTATTGATTTTGGGGTCAAGGGATCAAAGGTCAAGGTCACATTGACCTTGTAAGCAATAATGGTTTCCGATCAATAACTAAAGAACTTTAAGGCCTAGGAACTTCAAACTTGGTATGGTGATTGGTCATGATCAGTAGATGACCCCTATTGATTTTAGGGTCAAGGGGTCAAAGGTCAAGGTCACATTGACCTCTTGGGTAAAAACGGTTTCTGATCAATAACAAAAGAACCCTTAGGCCTAGGAACTTCAAACTTGGTATGGTGATTGGCATGACCAGCAGATAACCCCTATTGATTTTGGGGTTAATGGGTCAAAGGTCAAGGTCACATTGACCTTGTAGGTAAAAACGATTTCCGATCAATAACGAAAGAACCCTTAGGCCTAGGAACTTCAAACTTGGTATGGTGATTGGTCATGACCAGCAGATGACCCCTATTGATTCTGGGGTTAAGGGGTCAAAGGTCAAGGTCACATTGACTTTGTAGGTAAAAACGGTTTCCAATCAATAACTAAAGAACCCTTATGCCTAGGAACTTCAAACTTGGTATGGTGATTGGTCATGACCAGCAGATGACCCTATTGATTTTGGGGTTAAGGGGTCAAAGGTCAAGGTCACATTGACCTTGTAGGTAAAAACGGTTTCCGATCAATAACGAAAGAACCCTTAGGCCTAGGGACTTCAAACTTGATATGGTGATTGGTCAGGATCAGTAGATGACCCCTATTGACTTTGGGGTCAAGGGGTCAAAGGTCAAGGTCACATTGACCTCTTAGGTAAAAACGGTTTCCGATCAATAACTAAAGAACCCTTAGGCCTAGGAACTTCAAACTTGGTATGATTATTGGTCATGACCAGTAGATGACCCCTATTGATATTGGGGTTAAGGGGTCAAAGGGCAAGGTCACATTGACCTTGTAGGTAAAAATGCTTTCAAATCAATAACTTAAGAACCCTTTGGCCTAGGAACTTCAAACATGGTATGGTGATTGGTCATGACCAGCAGATGACCTATTGATTTTGGGGTCAAGGGGTCAAAGGTCAAGGTCACATTGACCTTGTATGCTAAAACGGTTTCCGATCAATTAACTAAAAACGCTTAGGCCTAGGAACTTCAAACTTTGTATGATGATTGGTCGTGACCAGCAGATGACCCCTATTGAGTTTTGGGTCAAGGGGTCAAAGGTTAAGGTCATGACCAGTAGATACTTGATAACCCTTATTAATTGTTTGATCACTGGGTCAGAAGTCATAATAACCTTATCACATGACTAATTGGCTGCTGATAGGGGGCATACATGTTTTACAAACATATCTTGTTTATTATAGGGATGGAGTCTTTATCCAGGCTACAGCCCTTATCCATGGCATGATAGGGATAGTTCAGCTGCTTGGCCACTTTTTTCAGCTGCTTTAGAATAAATGCATAGGTTCTTATCTTGTTTAATACAGACATATGTATCTAACTCTTTGCATAACTGTGTATTTATTTGCATTTTCAGCGCAAAAGCCCTGTTTGATATTTTTGTCCTAGACAAAGGCAAAACTACAAAATGGAAGTAAGATATAACCTTTCTAGCTTACATTATAATTCAAGTTGATAAAATTGTTTCCTTTGTAAGAGTTAGGTTAATAGTTATTAAGCAAATTATATATGGAACTTTTGAAAAGTCAAATTTACCATTACCGTGTGCCGAGTTTTTTATTTTGTTAATCAATTGATTGAAAGGATATGTTTATGGTAACTTTCATGTGAAAACTTTTTCACAAACTATATACAACCTTCTAATTGCCTTTTTTTGCATGTCACATATGAACAGAAAAAGTTTTTGAAATATTTCAACATTTTTAGTTTATTATGAAATATTTCAGTTGTATATTTCTGGCTGGCAATGGTGCATTCTTTGTGAATTACGTGATCACCTCGGCATTTATTGGCACTGCCCTCGAGTTGCTGAGATTCTCTGAACTCTTCCTGTATGGAATTAAACTTTTAATGGCTAAATCATCTGCTGAGAGAACTTCTGTAAGAAAGGCAAGTATTGACTCAATATGTAAAGAATATTTGAATATTCATGTATTAAAATGTAATGTTAACACTTACTCTGCTGATATAGGGTTATGGATTTACCCTGCAGTGAATTTTGAACAGTCTATTTTAAGTTGAAGGGATTTCAATATAAAAATACTAATAGAATTGCCCTGCCAACAGTAAAGAGCCTGGTCAGACTGAATAAACACGCAGGCTGGCCTGGATCTATACTGATTGCAAAGGCGGATCACTTTGGGTTAAAGTAGATAAAGAATGTATTCATTTTCTAAATAAAAATCTAAGGCAATGTTAATTTCTTATTGAGAAATTGTGTGTGTTAATGTGGTGTTATATATTTCAGCATGTGTTATGGGAGTTCCAGTATGGGAATGAATATGCCTGGTTCCTATGTGTGTTTGCTATACTGATGTCTTACAGTCTCTCATGTCCCCTCATTATGCCATTTGGTATGTCTTACAACATTAACTTAACTTTTAGTTTATGTAGTGATAATGATTTGCATTTGTCATCAGTTTACAGTAAGTTCAGCTGACATATCCTTACACTGATTTACCAGATTATGGAATTTCCCAGGGGCTTTCATGGCCGTGTGGTCAAGGTAGTTGACTTGAAATCACTTGCCTCTCACCACTGTAGGTTCGAGCCGCGCAAGTGTCGTTGGATACTAAATGTGAGAAAGCGAACATCGGTGGTCCTACTCAGGTGCTTGTTTGTGCACAGAGCCAGTAAAGCTTGAAAGTCACCATGTGACCTATACTGTGTTGGTGTGAAGTAAAATCAAACCCAAAAAGAAATACTGAATTTGCCACTGAGTTTTTGCAGTTTGAGTCTTTTCTTTTAGCTACTCATTATTTACAGCATCATATTAGAGACTCTTAAATCTATGGAAAGTTCAAGTCAAAGCAGAAAAATCCTTCACATGAATTTTGATGAATAGGTTAAAATGATTTAGTTAGCAAACCACTTCTGTAAATGCAAAAAATGTATTTACAAATGTTTTCAAAAGAAAAAGAAAGTACAATATCTTAAGCTGATGATGTTATCTTTTAGAATATTAACTGATTATACAATCCAGTGGAATGTAGTCCAAATAGAATATCTAATCTTATGAACAATTATTTTTAGTCCCTGAGAAAGTAAATGATGGATGATCAGATCCGTTTCTGCTTTTGTGTTATTCCAATTGAAAAAATGAAGAAACATTTAATATGAAAAAAAGAAGAATTATTTCTAATAGTTTGTTAATTAATATCATTGTGTAAAGATATGTTATTGTATATTATATCTCAGGTTTGGTATACATGATATTCAAGCATATAGTAGACAGATATAACATCTACTTTGCCTACAAGCCTTCACGTATCAGTCCACACATACACTGGACCGCCGTCAACTTTGTTGTTGTCTCAGTTATCTTTCTACAGTTCAATTTTGTATTCTTCTCCGTCGTAAGAGGAAGTAAGTATTTTTATAGTGGTTATGATGGTATTTTATTTTACACATTTCACAATCATTTTACATACAGTAGAACTTCTATGAGTCAAACTTCGATTAGTTGATTTACTCAATGTGTCTAAGTAAAATAAAAGTCCCGATTTTTTCCCCAATATATTCCTAATAAAAACCTATATATGAGTCAAAATTTTATGTGTTGAATTTTTTTATGTGTCAAAGTTTTTCCATGGTCCTCATAGAATAAATTGAGTACAATTTACCACACATAAGTCGAAGTCCTTAGATTGTCTTGACACCTTCAATCTCAAGACATTTTTCACACCTTTTCTAACCGCGAAAATGATTTCCAATCATCTTGTGTGACAGGTGTTTAACAGCCTTGTGTTCTAAAAGTCTTTGTAGGCGTTGAAATGTGTGATAAAATGCTTTAATTTTACCATTCAAATTGTAGTGGTATTTGAAAGTAAACAGAAAGAACTACTTTCATTTGAGAACTTCCATTACCCGGTGTAAATGTCAATGGCTCGAAACTTTGTCATTAAATTGAGACCTATTTATGAGTCGAAGTCCTGATGTGTCGCAGTTTTTACGCGATTCCCTTCAACTTCGACTTACCGAAGTTCTCCTGTATGTGTCCACCCCTTGTGCCTTTAAGGCATCTGAATTGCAGTCACTATTTATCCCTGCATGATCATAAGAGGTCACTAAATAGGTATGAATTACTGGAGTCTATGCGTCTCTTAGCTACAGCAGGTGAGGTGGTTTACCGTTTTGAACCCTGGGTTGATTTAAGTTTGTAACACCCAAGGTTAGCCTTAATTATCTTTCCTGTATCGATGTCATATGACCTAAATACTGTTAGTGTGCCGTAATACCTAGCAAAACATGTGTATTTAAGTAACATGGTAATTTCCAAAATGTTTCTACACACTAAAACCACTGAATTATTTTTCATCATACAGATACAAAACTCACAATGTGCTGTATTACAGTGACATGTGTTTGGTTTCACATATTGTGTAGAGTGTGTGGCTAATGTTTTGTTCTATATTTTGGTCAAATTTATTTTCATTCTGTTTTTCTTCATTAAGATTTAGCAACTTTTTCAGCATAAGCACCCTTATGTATCTGAAAAGGCAAATGTACTCGCTTAACTCTTTAATTGCTGAAGCTTTGCCACTAGTAGTGCCAGGCCAGCTTACATATCTTTGCAGTTTGGCTAGCCTCTATCCTGCTAGCTGACCAACTTTTAAGTTAACAACCAGCTAAGGTTTGGCTAACTAAGTATTATTAATATATTAATAATTAACTTTAAAAGTTTTACATGCAGATATATACTAGTATATTATGCATAGAGTTTCAGAAATGCTACTATTTCAACTATGTTTTCTATATTTCAGGTTCAGAAACGCCTATCTCCATCTTCTCCATTGTTGTTCTATTTTTCACTCTCCTGTTCTTCTTTGGTCGAGTCTGTTTTGGCTGCTTCAAATCATTCAGTCCATTTAAAACCAATAAATACAAGGTAAGAGTAATAGTTTTTGTCAGGTATTTTACACAAGCTTGATACATGATTCTCAGTTTATGTTTTTCTTAATTTATCAAATGCATATATTGTTATCTCCCTTGCATGGAAAATGGTTATTTTTAATAAGTTCTTTTAATTATTATGTCCTGATGATAGTTAGAGGTTAATTGATGAATGATAGAGTGTTTAAATATCAATTGATTTAACCCTTAACCGACTATATTTCAATATCAATATACAAAAATTGAGCTGCCAACAGTATAGAGATTGGTCAGACTGCAGGGATGTGCAGGAAGAAGTTTTAAGTCCAGGTTAAGTGGTGTTGCTTGGGTAACATTGCATGAATATATTAAATACTGCATGTACAAATTTGCTTTCATTTTCTTACAGCAATTTGATGAACAGGCTCCAACTAGAAGTGACTCAAACCAGGTAAATTTCAAAATATAATTGATTAGTTAATTGTCTTCCCAGCTGTATGTGAGAGAGACACTGGTATAGCTTTAATACTAACAAGACCATACTTTTCACATTTTTTTTCAGGGGACTCAAATTACCTTTATCAGTTAATGTTAAAATCAGTTTTGGATTGCATATGTTTTGCAGATCCAATTTCTTTACAATATGATGTGAGGATTTGATCAAAATCATGATTTTATATCATCATTTAGATGCTTGTTATTATAGTGGTGATTGTCACTTATAAGTTTATTGATTGATTCAATGTTAGATTGACAGTGATTTGATGAAGGTGTAGCAATATTTTTTGAGGGATTCTTTTTTTGTAATAAAATAAATATTCAATCATATTTGGAAAAGGAGCAATTGAACTGATTTATGTTATATGAAATTTAAACTAAGGCCTTGACTTAAACATATCATACACTTGAAATGATGAATTCTCAATTACAGACAAACTTGTCATAAAGACCACCTTCAAATAAAAAACCATGTTGAGGAAACAAAACATCATTTACCAGCATTATACATTCCAACTCTGATAATATTTCAGATGACATGTTTGAAGAGACTTCCTAACTTGTAATAGAATTAAGTGATGGGGTCTTCAATGATGATTATCATATTATTATTTTCAGACATTTGTGGCTAGTGTTTTATCCGGCTCACAACCAAGATCTAAGTCCTCTGGGTTATCAGCATCTGACACCCTTACACAGTCATATGGTGCCATGGCAACTACAAAGGATGCTGGGAATGAAAGAAATATACAAGATGATGGAGAGGAAATCACACAATATCAGCAATGATCGGACAGACTTTTCAGAGTGGGACAACAATTTAAAGCCAAAAAAATAATCTCAGTTGCCTCCTAAATGATTTTATATAATTAGTTATTATTTTATCATATAATTCAACATGTACAGGCCATTTTTCTCATTTGAAAAACTTTCTTTAATGTTTGCATAATCACATCAATTACAGTTAAGAAGAAATGGGATTTATGAAGCTTTTTGTAACTCATGTTTAATGGAAATTTATTGAAATAATACAAGGAATGTGGTTATGATATTTAAAAAAGCAAGTAACACATACGTGAATTTGAATAAGGTGGACAATACAAAACATGATGTTATGACATTTCAGATCTCTGCAAGAAAATTGTGGAAATTAGATATAAGAATGGGTTTAAAAAACTGGGGGAAAATAGTATTTGATATAGGAAGTAATACAAGTGGGCAGAAGTGCAAGATTTTTTTTGTTTTTGTAATTTATTTTTTTCAATGTTAGAAATAATGAGAAAGAAATTGGGAAAGTACTCTTTAAAATTGTATGTTCCTAGTGTTTTTTGGTTTTTATACTGTGATGATGAAATTGAATTAAGTCTGATTTCAGGGTATTGTTGTAATATAATAGTAACCATGACATAGAATAAGTCAAACTATATAACATTTCATGCAAATGAGAAGTTGTCACTGTATATGTCATGTTATAATGACAGTAAATATGTATGTAGTTGCTTAAGTTATATTATATGTGTTCATATAAATGTTATATAGTGAAGTTTGATTGTAAAACATGTACAAATACATGTAAGTGAGAGAAATTGAAACAAGTTGTAATTTAGTTGAGGGTGAAAGTTGGAAAAATCAAGAGCAAAGTGAAAGAGAGAAAGTAATTATTACAGTTTATTACATGTTTTGCAGTAGATTACTGAATTATAACGGTTAATTATATTCTGATAATTTCACAGTAATGATTACCAAATATAATTTCACAGTAGCCGAACTATATTTGGCGTAAAAACAAAATATTTATCATTAATGAATGTTTTTTTCAGCGGAAATGTAGTCAATCATAATAAAAAATGTACGTGATAACTGTAGTTCGTAAATATTTACGAACGTTGTGCTGAAAAACATCTAAAATCTAAAAATAATCATGGAATTATATTTTGCTTCAACATTGTGACGTCATTATTTGATGACGTCATGAAGATAAGAGCATGACGTTACGCGGCAAAAATCAGTAAAATGGTGTAAAAATCGTTAAAAAATCATGAAATAAACAGAAAATTTGTTTGTTTTACATGTAAGATCAAATAATATTTCACTCGTGAACCCCAGCTATTATATTTTCACTCGTGGCTACGCCACTCGTGGAAAATATTGTATCTGGTGTTCACTCGGTGAAATATTTTTCGATCTTACACTGAAACAAACAAATATCCTCTATTTATTTGTTATAGAGTGAATAATGTGAAAATTGTAGGGAAATGAAAGAGAGATAGTAATTGTTATAATTAATGTAATATAGAGTGAACATAGGGAAAATGTAGAGAGAAGAGAAAAATCTTGAAGAAATACCTGTTTTGTAATTTAGAGTGAAGATTTGACATATGTAGAGAGAAGTTAGGATTTGAATTAAAAGAAAGTAACTGTTGTAATTAAAAGAGAGAAAAGATCATGTAAAAATGTAGAAGAAAGTGAGAGATTGAAACAAAATGAAAATATAACTACACAACTTAATGACATATAATTATTTACTAAATAATGGAATGTCATATGTCAAAGATTTGCAGTGTTGATGGATGAACATCTTAACCATATTGTCACTGCTCCCTCTTTGTTTTCAAGTGCAATAAAACTTAAAACGATGGAACATATATTAAAGTGTAACCATGGTAACAGTGTAATATTATGTTTGTTAAAGGCCCATTATGCCTCAGAAATGCTTTTATTTTATATTTACCAAAAGCATTTGATTAAAAAAAATGATGTCTAGTTTTTTTTCCAAAAATGTAATCATTAGCCTATAGCCTGAGCCATCATTTTTTCTGTTGCTTTTTTGGCATAGTGATTTAGTATTTTGTATGGCAGTCAAAATACTACTTTGTTTACATTTTGCTACCTTTATGACCAATAATTTCACTTTCAGCACTACTTTCTTCACTTGATATGCATCTAACATGCTCTTAAAACATTACCTGAATTAACTTACTTGCCCTTTATACAGAAAGTAATATTTATTCATTTCTGAGGCATAATGTGCCTTTAAGTTGATGTGCAATAATAGAAGCTAGTTTGAATATATTATAATCTATTCTTGTATATGTGTGTATAATGTAATTGTATGTCAAAGCCTTGTTTAAATTTGTGTTTATATTTGTTGTTCATATTCTTTATGTCTAGATTTCAATTGAAATATGTTATCAGAACTGCATATGTTAAGCTTAAGTTTGAGTATTTTAATTAGTTTTAAATTTCATCATTCCAGTCAATATTAGTAAATGTATAAAGAAGGAATGTTGAAAACCTTGTGTTTATCTTTGTAAAAAGTGTTTATATTTTGTTAATATATCAATACAGATTTATTTATTTGCATTAAATTTTGGGGAATATCTTGAAAGCTTTAGTTCATACAAGTTCATAGTCATAATTTATGTATACCAGACAATAACTTACGTTAGTTGGAAATTATTTAGCATAAATTGTGTACATAAATATATATATGAAAAGTTAATGTCATATACAATAGTCATAATATCATTTTATATTGTGCATTGTATGTCTTGGTGACTGTGAGTTACATTGTAATGAATTGTTTTATTTGTGTATTGAAATGATGACATGTGAATAGATCTACTATATCTAATGACAAAACCTTTTCTGACAAAATTTGTCATTTCTGACAAAACAGACAGATCTATCAAAGCCATATTGGCAAAGTGACAAAGGACTAAACACAACTTACAAAAACCTGTTTTCAGGTAAGAAATAAATTTACGAAACCTGTTTTCAAGGAAGAAATAAACTGAAACATTGTTTCTGACAATACAAATGTATACTGACAAAGGTAAATAATTATCTTTCATGATTGTAAATAATAGTTAAATGTGTTATTTAGTACTAGATTTCAATTGACAAGATATTAGAAAGAATTAGACACATTGATATATTTTCTTTCTATCACAAAATATATTTTTACAATTTTCAATAGTTATAGTACAGTTCCTATATGTTGTGTTTATTGTCTTTCATTCATTCTACACAATGCTTTTTTGTGATACTTGTATTCTATGTATTTAGTATTTTCTTATTTTATTAACGTTGACCCCCACTGATTTTGTATAATGGACTTACCTTTGTTCTAATTTGGAACAGTTCATTAGTATTTTAAATAATTTCAATTCTGATTTCTAAAATTGGGCAGCCAATGTGATTGTGATTAGACTATACAAATATAAGAAAAATAGACTGACTGGCTGCATACTAGAGGCATAGGTCTTTCACTAGCATCAAAAGACCCCCAAAGAGTTTATTCTTAGTTAAAATGCATAATTATATTATTCATATAATATAGATATCTTAAACATGCTTGTGTTGGTCATAATATCAACAGCTGTTGATATATTACCTTATTGTGTCATTTTTCTTTTATTCCATCTCCCTCACTTCTTTACCAGAAATCTAGCTTGATTACAATAGTATTTGTATAAAACATCATGTTAAACCATCCTATTACCATCATATGCCTGCCATATCAGTTTAAATCAAGATTGTCTGAAAATTTGAGTTGTAGACTTTTAAAAATGCACTTGTACTGTCTCCATGGTTACGAATGTGTTAAGGGTCTGCAGTATCAGAATACAAAGCCTTGGCAGACAATAGTATGAAGGTACATCATACTGCATAAATTTACAAAAATAAGTCTGGTTCTCTAAATTACTGGTAGTATAGGTTCATTCCTTCTCTGTCATGCTATTGGTCAGACAGATTTTTTACAGCTACATTTATTTACATGTAAAAAGAAAGCTAACAGAACCATTAAGAGGGCCTAAAAACAATATGTAAAATCTTATATAGTGAAGGAAAATTTTGACCATCTCGGAAACAACCCGTCTTACAGGCTGGTAAATATATTGTAAACAGTTTTTGCATTGAGCCATGTTTTGTAATCTGCCTATAAAGTAATTAATGTGGAGAAGATGGCTGTCAGTTATAGAGAAAAATTAGGATTGATTTAGAAAAAAGGAACTTGTGTTAAAATTCCTGTTCAAATTTGGTATCTGTAACAAAGAGTGAAGTAAAAAGCTCAAAACTTATCATATTTTATGTTCAAAAAAAAGTTTATTTCATTTTTCTATCACTTTGCCTATATATAATATACATGTATTCCCCCTTCACTATGTTGTTACATTGTTATATAAGTTTTATAAAACGTTACTTCTATAATTACTGTTGATGTCTTCAATTTTACTTTTAATATTTTTTGTCTTCTTATGAATAAATGTTTTCAAACATATATGTTTTGTTTGTTTTCATACTTTTAAGGCACTCACAAGTTGTGTTAGTAGTAAAATATCAACGTGTCTTTGTTTTATGCCATTTCTCAAATTAAAAAGACATGAGCCCAAATTGCGAAAAGGTTAAGATCACTGTCTCTACTTGTCTGTCAAATTTGTGGGTTTGATCTTCATCAGAGGCATTGAATCTTCTCTTACAACAAAGTTATCCAACTAGCTTCAGGAAGATCCAGGGGGCCGTTGTATCAACATTCTACTACATGTTGTAGGCTATTTTTTGTCGCAGATCGGTAATGACTGTTTTATGAAAGTTTGTCATAGCCCACGACGTCCTAGAAAATGTCAAAGCTCTGCCAGTGTTTGAAATAGAGCATGGAGTGAGGAAACTTAACTCCTTTACCAGTAAAACTTGGAAAGTTAAACTTAAACAATCACTCTATGACATGATCAATGTGACCTAAAATCCATGAAAAAAATTATTAATTTTCTAACAACAAATCCTTTATCATTATATACATTTCTATGCTTATGACCTTATCACATGCATAAAAGGAGTAGAATGAGGATTGTAGGATATTGTGTTAATTCAAGCGGAAATGCATTGCTGCACTCGAAGGTTGTTCTTGAATTACTGAAATATTAACAGAGGTGTTGGTACATTGCATTTTAAGTCTAGACTGTATCTGCCAATAAAAGAGGGCACTGGGGGTGAGGAGTGTGTGTGTGGGGGGGTGGGGGGGGGGGGGAGTTCTTAGCGCATTTTAAATTAGAAGAGCAAGTTGATGCTAGGAATAATCCTCTTTGTAAACAAAGTTGTGGAAACTGAACTTGTACTAATTTCAGTAATATTCAACTGGTATTTTTTGTAGGAGGTATGTCTGTTCTCCCATTAGTAAAATATCAATCAAATTTGAACTTCTTTAAAATGTACGGAAAAAAAAACCCACATTATTTTACGATTTTCAACATACTGTATCTACAAGTGGTTTTCAAGAAATACATTCATCACATCCTCATTTTAGTCTCTTTACAATATACATGTCTTATCTGTGTCAGTTAATTTGCTAATGATTACAGCAACAATTTATACTCATTCATTTAGTTTTTAACTTAAATTAGGCAGCCAGTGCAATAAAAGTGAATTTGCTGAAGGCTGAATGACAAATTAATAGTTTGTATTTTAGTAAGCATTTATTGTACATATTAGAACAGCATATATGTGAAGTTTGTGGTTCTATGCTAGTTAGTACCTGTAAAATGCAGAAAGGGGCACGTAATTTAAAGCTGCACGCCTCTAGATGAACCAAAATATTTCAAGAAAATCAATATTGAGAAAAATGCACTAAACTTTTAAGAAAGGTAAAAACATTCAAGATGTTAAGTTAAATTTTACATGTTATGTGCGGTTAACACTGATTTGGCAGTATTTTATCACCAAATTTCTACTGCGTTAGTAACGCGGCAAGGGCTGTTTTTGCATATTTTTACCACTTTTTGATAATTTTCGTGGATTGTAAGTGCCGATGGCAATATGTACGAGGGTTGATCAATATATTCATGGACACTATTAATAACTTAATAATAATTCAAGATATTATAATTTTTTTTTGCTATTTAGGAGAAGAATTTAATACTATTCAAATATATTGTGATTTTTTAAAAACAAATTTCATTTTGTTCATTATATGTATCGCCATAGCAACCCTATACCGTACGAACGCCGCAGCTCAAAAAAAAGTTATATTTACCATTTTGAAATACTTAAAAATTGTCCTAATTTTGGCGTGCTTCTTTAAAATATGAAAATGACGGCAACGTTCTTTCATATTGTTTAT